ATCGTATTACACTAACATTACCTGATTATTGTTCAAATAAGTATTAATGGACTGATTATTGTTTACTTCGCAGTTCAGTCATTGTTCAGCTAATTCTCAATTGTCTAGTGCTAAAAATTTTCCCCTGTTTGATTGGATGATTAAAAGTAAATAGCCCACCTGCTCACATAACTTCTGTTCCGCCGTTCCGCAGTGATTGCAATTTTGCTCGTGTGCTTTTTGTTTAAATGTAAAGCAGTTGGTTTGTATTTATATCTTACCATTATATATTTGGCGTCTTTTTATGGGTAAAACAACGTATGACTGTAGGGTAGTGTTATACCGGCATGCGTTTTGGCGTGAAAGACTGTACCGTGGCTGTTTGTTTACGAATTATTTAGCATAACTGATTTTTCCCACTCTTTAAAACGTTGAGATACTCATTCCGTTATTAGATGCTCGTTTTTTGAGTCCTGCTTTGATGACTTGGTCGGTGAAAGGACACGTGGCCTAACAGGCCGGATTTTGATAAATGTTCCCCCACTAATAGTCAAATTTGCGGTTCGTGTATCTATCCATATTTTATTTTAATTAAAGGCAACTTAGAGATGGCAGGCTTAGATATCTAAACCACTCTATCACGTTGGGGACCCTCTGCAGTAGGTGAATTTCTCCCGATGTGTGCTTGGTTTATTCTTCTCTTCGATTAATTATTGCTACCTAATTCGATATTAAAATGATTGGGATTCATGAACGGCACCTTCACAACTTCATTGGCTTTGTTCCATGGCTCATCAGGCTCTTTTTTACGACTGGACATCATGATGGACATTTTAAAATATTTGTAGCGTTTTGGTCTTTTTGGAATTCCACTGTGGTCTGAAAAAATTGGCGTATTTTTATTTAAGTAAATTTCAAATCAATTCTTTGTTCTTAGGAGTGGCAATTGGTATAGTGATTTGCTACTCGAGGACTTTGAGGATCTGTTGCCGTCAGGCGAGATGTCGGGTAAGCTTCATTCTGTAGTTCCGAAGTCATGTACTATTTTAGAAACTGAACCCTATGTGAGAAATGCGGCTGTTGAAATAGCAGTTGACTCAGACACCTCAAGTGACGTGGTTATCGTGGAAGAGCTCAGTCAAGTCTCTAATTCGAGAATTGATCGCGTTCTTCGACCTCGTACATCACTTAATGCCTTCCACCTCCGATGTTTCTCACCGCCGCCATCCACTTCCAAAGTGTACCGTAGTAGAAAGGTTTGTTCGCTTCTTATATCTCTTGGATTGCGATTTTTATGTGTTTTCCATTTCCTTATGGTTTGCTTGACTAGCCGAGTGGTCGTCGCAGTGGTTCCAAGAAGCCCCCTACCTCTCCGCCCGTCAAACCCGTTAGTCGCTCATTAGCAATACCCAATCTTTTTTCAAACCAAGAAGCTCCTTCTACTCATGATCTAATTGATTTTACTGCCAACGTTGGAGCCGCCCTCTCCGCCTCCAACAAAATTACCCCATTCCCTCGTCTTATCACGAAAAGGCGACGGCAGCCAACTGTATTTGTGCGATCTCATAAGCGCAAGCATCCGGCAAACTTTTCTGCTACTAATACTGTTGAAACGGTGGTCAGAAATGTTATGCAAAGTAGTCACGCGGTTTTTAGTCGGCTACAGTCCAAATCCAGCAAATTAGCTCTGGACCGGTCAGCTGATTTTCTTCTAAAACATCCCTTTTTATACCCTTGGGAACATGACGAAGATAGGATGAATGGAGGTCAATGGCGTGAACGACGTGCTTATTATCACGTAAGCTTTTCGGTTTGTTAGGTTTCATTGTCTATCTTCTAAACCTCGGCGTTATCCACCGCCGAAAGAGTATCAGATCACAGTGTATTATTCGTACAAGTTTATACCTTTATTAATAGTGTTTCTGATAACTTTGGTTTCTGCATGAAGTTTTGCCGGTGATACAAGTTCTCCGTTCTCTCTTCGCAAGTGCATGTTTTGTTTTTCGCTTTAAGGCCATGCTTAGGAGTCGTGGGGAGTGTGCTGGTTATGCAGTAATTAGCTCGGATGCAGAAAACTCGCCACCAATTACGCGTCCAGGAAAACGAAAACTCAAGGTTCCTCAACGCGGCATCTCATCTGATGAAAACAGCAGTTCGAAACGATCACGCTCAGCATTTGAACCATGTCTTCTTGGATACCGATGGCCCTCAACCAAGCCACCGAATGCATCACCGGAAAAACTGATTTTCTGGCGTTAAAATACCCACTTTGCATTTAATTCCCGAATATTTTTATATGTATTTTTTATTGCTAATATAGATGGTCTATATGTATATATATTTATTCTTGTTTTGATTTCTGCATTTGAGATAATGTGTAATCTTTTCAGGTATACGTTTTTTTCTACAGATGACACTTGATCAGCAGTTGGTGTGGTGGACGCTCGCGTTCTTCGTTGTAGCAGCGTCAGCCGAAGCAAACGATGGGGATTACGTGTGGATGACAGACCCTCAGACTCATGAGCGATATCAGGTCCTTCGATCTTCTTACGATCGAGATAAGGCCTTCTTCTTGGGGGAATCCACCCTCTCCGACCGATTTTCACATGCATACCTCGATGCTCTGGCTAATCAGTGCAATGCTGTGACAGGTCCTCCAAGTGTCTTTGAGTTCCTCAATCATACCTCGATCGCTGTTGCTGAATTCTGTCTCAACCCAGAAATCTACCCCTATTCCTTCGAGATTTATCTGCGTCTCTTCGAAACCATCCGATGGGGGCCTTATACGATAGCCGCACTGGTAGCAGTTTTGTTCACGGTTGCACGTTACCTCTGTACAAAATTATTCCTCAAGGTAATTATCTACCAAGTGTCTTTGAATTGATTAAACCTCTTCTATCGCGATAATATTTGCTCGAACTAAGCTAGGGCTTGGCACGCGTACTCTTTATAATCCTTACCACATCATGGAATCTTGTATTCCATCCCCTTTTATTGTTCTCGTTAAATGGCTGCTACGATGAACTGAGTAAATCGCCCCGAAATTGCTTTTAAAGTAATTTTACTCCTTCTGACTATTTTTTAAGATTTCTTATCTTAAAGGATTACCTCAGTGTTGTCATCTGTATACATTTGTGCTAATTTCATTCCCGATATACGAAACACTCAGTGAGGATTCCCATGCACGTGCATTCACTTTGTGCATTTAATATTTCAGACAAAAGTAGGTCGACGATTTACTACCGAACACTCTCAGAAGAAAGCAATGACGCCGTTGTGGAATACGATTTCGTATACCTTCCTCTTTTCTGTGGAGACAGGCACTTTGCTAAATTGTGGATACAATGATTTTGTCTATCCGCTATGCATATTCAAGGACATTCATTTCAAACGTAAGTTAGGTATCTTATTTGACAAAATGACAAAGAATATTGTCAAAAATAAGGTTGAGTAACCTCGTTATAGTCCGAGGAAGGTTGGTATGCAGTTTGAATGACTAGTCTCTCACAGTTGGCATTTATAAGGGCACCTCCACTTCGTGTTTCTGGTGTATTTATTGCTAGTATCTTGTGTCTAAGTTGAATGCGGGTTGATCTATTTGGTCAACTGTTGTGGTAAGTGCAGTTGAAACATTGCCTACTGTTTGTCGTCTTAAATAAACGCTTTTTCACAGACTTCTCGTTGTCAGTACCTTTACCTTTTATAAAGATTTAGATACTTGTTACTACTGCTCAATAATGGGTTGATAGATGTCAAAACCATGTTACAATGTGAAACGATATGCTGTATCTAGATCATGTTGCGGTCTGGGTTGAAGTTTCCGTGCACCATGTGCGTTTGAACACCCAACGGTGTATTTTTTGGCAATTTATGACGTGCACGTCAGGCCAGCCTTTTGTTTGAGCTATCTCATGCAGCATACCGTGCTAAATTATGCGTTGTACCTAGTTGTGTCGTGCCTTTGTTCAGACGTGCTAGCAAACTTATAAACTGGACGACCGCAGAGTAGACAGACGCGAGGCGTCATCACTCATTGTCAATGTGCACACGTGTTCACCATTCTCATGTAACGTGTACCAATATTTGTTTGCTTATTTTAAGTAAATTTCAGGTCACCGCCCCCTATATTACTATTTGGAAGCGCAATCAACTCAGGTGACCTTCTGAGAAAAGGCAATGGCGTTATCAATTTAAGTTCACTTTATAAGCGCATTCTCATAATAAACCACTTTGTTCGTCTATCTGTTTATCGGAGCGCTTCTGTTCATTACATACTAAACAGGACAACCCGTATGCCATTTCATGCTAGCTCATTTCAATGCTTCATGGTCTTACGACAACTCTACATGCATTAAGGTCTCTTGCCTCCCATAAAATGTGATAGATCGTTTAGTTCTTGAGTGTCTTCATATGACCTTTGTTCTCCGATCGTCTCCAGTCGACAAGTGTATTCTATGCTTGTAGACTACTTCCTTGGAATGTGTTAAAGCAGCTGTGGTGATTCACACACAATCTAATTACGCATGCTTTTGAGACCGTTATTTTGTCGGTCCTTCTCCATAGCCGTATCACTCTGAGTCATGATTTCATTTTATCATTCAATTTTGCAAACGTTGGTGGACTTTTTGTTTCGGACCAATTTCAATCCTACAAATTCCCTTCACACGTGGTATCGGTGTGCAAACTCGCTACTTGAGCGGATAGTATGGACTCTGTCGGATAATCACTCGAAGTACTTTACTACACCTAGCGTAGCCTTGTGACCTACGGTTTATATCCTATTTGAATGTAAGTAGACGCCAGTACTTTCTATCTGAAGACGGATTACGCTCTATCTTCCCTCCGTAGGGAGATATTGCGAAACTAGAAGCTATTCACTTACCTCGTTGGTAGTGTTACGATTGCGTTGCACCGTTTGTACTCACGTTGTAGGTTGCATGTCTGTGTTTTGAAGTGGACTTGGCGTCAACTAATGACCTGTTTTTACTGATGAGTGCACAATTCCAAACATAGGTGATTTTGCTAAGAGGTTGTTAGTTCGATGCTCTTCGATGAGAATAGGATCGCTGTTGTTTTTAATTATTTCTCATAGTGGTTTCAGTCAATAAAAAATATGGATTTGTTTATTTGCAGAAAATCCTGCTTGTGATTGCTGATCGAAGCAAACTAACTTCTAGTAGCTTAAATGCACTTACTGTTTAGGGCAAAATCTGGCAAGTATCAGTTAGGCAGGCTTTAATTTGTCCCGAATGGGTATTGTGCATGGATCCCCTACATTATCGTTCTTCAAAAAAGCTTCAACTCTTAACTCAGAATGCCCCTTGATGGGATATTCCTTTTTCATTTTGTTATGTTACTTGATAACTTCCGAATAGTCTATCATCGTATCGTTCTAATCGTATTTCAGTCTTCCATCCATACCATACGAATTGCATGGCAAGTAATTCTTCTGGTATTCTTGGTAATAGGGCATAATTTTGATTACATATCCTTGTTATGGTAGGGAAGAGTCCACTAAAGTGGCTATATGAACCAAATTTGCGAGAACGTTTTTCGTGCTTGAGGACCCATTCTGTCTCCCATTTTAAAGCATTGGGTTTAGGTAGTCAGAGTTACGAAAACAATACGTTTGTGGAATGAGCGCCTATTCAACAATGCCAACGTGTTGAGTGAAGCCATGACAACGACGCCTTTAAAATGACAATAAAATAAGGTCATCGTCAGTGATGTTTGAGTTTCGTTGCTTGAGTTGTGTTTATGCCTTTGCGACTTGAAGGGAATGATCTTTTTGAATTGTTCGTTGTTTTTCTTCAAATATTCGTTTCATTTCTTTTCTAATTTCTTTTACTAAGACTGGGACTTGCCTTATGGTAATTATTGCAAGAACATTGCTCTTTTGCCTTAGTTTTGTTCCAAATTCGCGATCAAGTATCCTCGTCTAATTTGTTGAATTGTGTTGCATTAAGGTCGTGAAACTCAGGTCGTTTTCCAAATGCTACTTGTCTTTTTAAATTCTTATATGCAAACGCTATCTCAGTTTTGACTCCCTGGTTACTCAATCCTAGGATCTGAAAGAACATTTTTTGTGGATTGATCCAAAAATTTGTGCTAATATAATGCGATTTAATGTCTTGCATTAGCCCACCGAGTTTATCGCTGTGCATATGCCACACTTTCGTCAGTAGAATGCGATTTTTGTGGTGTATGATCTCGCAAAATGGGTGTGGTCATTTTCATATTGTTAGTTCTAAACTTCGTAACAAGTAGATTTGATGAGTATTAACATTTGAAGAATAACACTTTCGCGTGACTCGTTTTTTTTTGTGGATAACGATAGTTTTGTACTACTTTGTTGGGCAATTCACAACAAGTATTGAAGCAACTTTATTGATGGCTCATTACTCGTTCTTCAATTTCTAAATTGGTATTTTTATCGTATCTGTTTTATATTTTAAATGAAAGAGCTTTTTATGCAATGGAGTACCTTGTCTCTCATTTGAATATGCTTCACACGTTAACTTCGAATGTACTCATCAATTTTATGCTTTTTGAAACATCTTTCACTAAATATATGGCAAAATGTCTTCGAGGGCAGCGCTTTTTCTTAATAAATTCTAAATATGAGTTCATTGAGTGTTTCTTTTGACACTTTTATGTGACAGCAGAGGTTCCTGTTAGTGGAATTGATGTCTGTTTGATGGCATAAGCTAACGAGTCTCACACTGCTCCATCTCTCTCAATAGCTGGTTACTTTGATGACCCTATACCGTGGCAATACCGTTGGTTGTATATGTTTCAAATCGGCTTCTACGCCCACTCATTTTACGCTGCCTTGCGGCTCGACGTCAGGCGAAAGGACACGTCTGTGCTACTTATTCACCACGTCCTCACAATTGCCCTCCTCTCCTTCTCCTTCTTCGCCAAGTAAGCCTCTTCCCCCTTCTGCCTTTTTGGAACGATTGGCTACTCGTTCAACCATTCCGTGATCTCCATTTTGTCTTCAACCCATAATCTTCGCAAATCACTCTGGTTTTTAAGAATATCAACTAGGTTTTAGCTTCAAGCGTTATCCCTTTGCAATCCCCCAAACTGACCACTTTAGCACTTCTGAGGTGCTTGTGGCTTAAATGTAGGGTACGTGTGATCTTACGCTCAGTTAGCACGGTACTTTGATTCAGAGGGTCAGGCCATTTTCGTGGTCTTGTGATTTATGTGAGAGTATCTTCTGCATTGCGGTCCTCTTTGCACTACATTAAATGTTGTTAATGTTGTGCTTTGATATTTTGATAGCAATGGGTTAGCCACTACCTTTGTTCACTAAGTGACCTCTTGAATCCGGATACTTGATTATCGGTTGAACCGTGTGTACATCAAAAACGTTGTTTGTGTGCTCCGTGCTAATGCATCTTTATTAACTGGTTTGGTCCAACTTTATTCTGATAGGTGAGAAACCGCGTTTTTATCTCAAGCCGACTCGACGACCACGCTCAACTCGGGCCATACTTTCCTGTAAGAGACAGATAAGTAGATAGTGTGGCCCTCCCTGTGTAGTGCTAGTTGTGGGTTTTTGATGTAAACCCGGAGCGCACGCTTGATTAGACTTGCGCGTATGCTTGTATTTGCCGATTGGTGTGGGAGTAGTTTAATTCTCCAAGTGCATGCTATCACTTCTGCTCGTGTGTGTCCTTGTCGAGTTTCTCGCAGACTTGGTAGAAGCCTGCCAAATAGATAACCAACATGCTTCAAATTGACGTTAATGATGTAAATATCGTGTGGAATGCATGATAGGGCTTGTGCTGCTCACTGCGCTATTACCATTACTGTTATTCTCCCACTTTATCACTCTGGAATTAGAGGTATTTGCTTAACAGAACGGCTTACCCTTTAATGACGACTACTAGCACTACCACTTTCTGGGTTACATCAGTTCATGTTTTGCGAGTCAGTGGAATTTTGGATCGGTGGTTTTTTTTCGATTAAAGCTTTTCCCCGTGATGTTGACTCTCCATGCGTTCCTCTCAGTTCATACTAACGAAACGATAGCTGGCGTATCAGATCTGCTACTTGGTCATCTCTTAATTTTGTAGATGAGGTCACCTTTAAGAAGGGTCATTTCCAGATTACATCAGGCTCCATGTTTATTAGTTTTTCTCGTGAGGAACTTCAGATAGGTAACGTATATTCGAATATGGTAAAACAGCAACAGAAGCCCTATGCCATGCACCTTTTGTATTATGGTTTAATTCGTTAACTAAATTGAAAAAATTATTCCAATTCCAATGCCTCAAGATGAAAAGAAAGTGGTTTTGATTTAACGGAGTCCAAAAGCTCTCAGTCTATTTGAAGGTTTTGTGTTCTGTTTGCATTTGGCGCACAAGTTCTTCTGCTGGGGAAAATTGTTGTCGAGATTGCCTGTGTAGTTACTGTGGCAATTTTGTTATTGTGTCGCTCCCTTAACACCTTGTAGATCTAGTCATTCAAAGCTGCCTATTTTTCTTTGCTTGAGTGCACTTCCGAAAAGTTACTCAGTTTGCTCTCCTGGGCGCACAGCTTTCCGTGAAAAGCCGGCTATTCTTGTGTTTGTTTTGGAATTGTAGGGTACAACGTCATAGATTTATTGTTTTTCACTGATTTATTCTTCGTTCAATTATTGACACAATGCGCAATCACTTTATTGACTCCAAAAATTTTTTAGAACATGATTTTTTGAGCTATTTTTGAAAGTAGAGATGTGCGCTTTGACGAAGTCTTCACAGCTTGTAAGTGCTAGGTATAGTAGCGTTTCGTGATCGTAACTCAAAAAACAAAACTGTTTTGTGTATTTTGTGTGGGTTTAACCACTTTATTATTTAGTACAAAGCTGGTTACTCAATTCCAATGTTTTGATTGTTTAGATGCTAAATCCATTGCTCCCATCGCCTGACGTCCTTTCCCTTTAGCAAAATTGCCTGATTATGTGGTAATAATGCTGCTGCCATAAAACATGCTTCCTCTGTTGAGAGCTGCTCTGAAGGCATAGGGCTTAGCGAATATGAAGGAGTCAAAGCTTTATCATGCTTAAAATCTTTTTTTGTAGGTTTCATAGAGTGGGACTCCTGGTTCTCTTCTTACACGACATATCGGATGTGATTTTGGAGTTGGGCAAATTTTTTATCGCCGTACGCTCAAAGTATCCTGAATACGCCAATAGGTTGGAACATATCGCCAACTGCCTTTTCGCTGCCTTTGTCCTCACCTGGTGAGTTGTTGGTCCCTGTAGTGACCGTTTTTGGATTACTTCCATCAGCCTTTGTGGCTCACAATAACTCTATCGTACTCTCCGATGATAATGGGATTGTTGCACTTGTTTGGCCCTCCAAGGTCTCGATCTTGAAACTTATGCTGTGAATAGGTTTTCTCATTGGTTTAGTTGTCAATTGATTCGTGTGTATTTGATGAGTGTGTGAACTCATTAGTTAGCCTGGAATGGCTTTCTTTTATTTCCTTACCCCTACTGTGCCCCAAATTCTATGACCATCCCCACTCTATTCTCATGTGTGACTGTGCTGATTGTACTTGTAAATGTGGGCTTTCGCGACTGTTGCGAAAGCTGCTGCTTGCCTTTGAGTGGATTGTTTGTCACCACTTGTTGTAATGCTTAATGATGTTCCTGCGCGCTTATCACACCCTTGCACTCATTTTTATGTTCAAATTGTAGACCAAAAACTTTAGCAAATCTTCTATAACTTTGGTTTTTTATTTGGCATGACTTAAATGTTTTTTTTTTTTTTAAATTGACTTCAGTTTTTTTGCTTATGGCTGAAGACGGCTTTCATCACTTTGAATATGACGTCTACTAAAATCATTTAATTGGCAAGGGCGAGAACTCTTAATGCACATTCCTCGATGTTGTGTAGTAGGGGGAGCAGCTGTGCCTACTTTTAAAGCTTTTACCTCCCGGCTCTATAAGCGCTTATGTCTGCGTTCTGTCGGTTTTTTTCGTCATTACTAAGTAAACTGACCTGAACCCTTGTATCTCGTGTCGCTTCTCCCACCTTCCTTTTAGGAACCCTCTGAGTGAAATGGTTTTCGTGCCCTAATCACGTGACATTTCTAAAGATTATTTTTTATTGTCCTGCCTTAATCATTAAATCACCTCAATCGCATTCACCTTGGAGCCCCGAGTGTGTCTATGTTTCTTCAAATCGTTGAACTCGAAATACTATTCTAATTCTCACTATTTCCCCAAGGTGCACGTGATCGGCTTTTCTTTTTTAAACCAAATTTTACGCCTGCTCTACGATTATTTTGCGTACGTCAGCAATCTTTGCCAATGAAATTCATCATCTATCAATGCGACAAGAGCAAACAACACTGGTGATGCACTACCTACGCGTAATATTTAGTCACTTCTGGGTGTTAAGATGAAGTTGCTTCGTGTACTAATGTTTCCGTGCCCCCACCTTTGTTCTCGTTGAGCAACACACCAAAAATATCGTAAATAACGTCATAGTGGCTAGTGCATTGGATTGGGAAGTAACGCATGCCACTTATTATACCCATTTAAAGATGCGGTTACCTTTATCTCGACAGTTGTCGCAGTACCTGTGCTAGCTGATCATAGATGAGTCAACCTAGAGCGGGGGTATTGATGCTCGGTCCTTACAAAAGCCATGACCGGATTGATCATGTTTGCACAGTTTCCAACAGTGGAATAACACTAAGTAGTAATGATACTTCCTTAGGGGAGAAAACGACGTAATGAATCACTTTGAATATAGAAAATTGCCACCTTACTTTACTTCTGTTAGTACTAAATTGCACGAAGCTTAAAAAGCAGCATATTTTCGAAATGGTTTTCAGCTCATGAACTCACATCTGCATTCCCCATGGTGCCAAGCAAGTCAGACATTAGGCAGTAGTGTACGGTGAAATCCTCTTCCACCCTTTTCATCCCTTTGTCCTAATCAAAGTACTTATTTTTATAATGAATTTTAACCCAAGAAGTGTAAGATATTGTTTCTTCATTTTTTACCTTGTGCCAAGATACTCCATATTTTATCGGGTGTTACAAATTGTCCTTTCATTGACATTCTCATAGGTTCTATCTCCGAATCTACTTATTTCCCACAAAAGTGATATATGGCACCACCTGGGGAGTATATCTCACCCACTTGGATCGCGAAGCCTATTTCTTCCTTTTCTTTAACACCATGCTCACCACCCTCTATCTCTTACACATCTACTGGTCCTACGTAAGTTTAGCCCCTTGAAAACTTTAATTTGGTGGTGACCACAGCCTCACATTCTAAAGCAAAAAAATAGTGGCCTATTGGTAGAAATTCGACCTAACTACTTTTAACATTTGGATCCTCAACATTCACTGCGCAAGTGGTCCCACCATCGCTTCGCTCAGAATGCTCGTTTTCTTTTAGCTTATTTGCCATTTTCACGATTATATTCCCCTATATGACTTAGCAAGCCTGTCATCACTTATAGCGAGGGGTATACCATCCTGTGTCATAGCCTCGGTTTTATCTAGGATTTAGCAAATGTTGCATAGACGTGGCTAGAGGTGGCTAAATAGCGCGCTGAAATTCTACTGAGCTTAATGGTTACATATTACACCTAACCCCTGAGTCATAGGCGATTAAGACATTGAAATGCGCGTTTGTGGTTCATTACTGAGTTTTATCGCTAACCCTTTTCTCCCTCAGTTTATCGTTGTGATGCTGTGTAAAATAGCGATAGGCAGAATGCCAAAAATAGAAGACGAAAGGGACTTCGACTCCGACACCTCCAGCAACGGTGTCTGCAAACCGGCTATAGCAAACGGTGCACGGAAAAAAGAAAAGCTGCCATAGGCACGGTGATATCCCCCTTCTTTGCCAATTTAACCCCCGAATGCATCTAGACCGTCCATGTGTGATTAGCCAGTGTGCCAGCTAAACGGTAGAGTTCGGCGCATTGTGTGATCCCCAGCCTCTCATGTTTTTTCCCTTCCATATGCGTCCCTCCTCCCGTTTTATTGGCCACCGCACATGCGCACACCTGCACCTACACACACTCAGGCAGACGCGAAACAACCAACGATTTTGGCTTTTTTAACGCACCCAGCACTTTTTGCCTCCTCCCCGACCTCCCTACTAGTACTTTGCCTGAACGCAGCTATCGAAAGAGCACGACTTATTTTTATTTGCAATTCTGTAATGAAAAATTCGCTGCCATTGTTGCCGCGAATAGTTTAAGAGGCTTGTATCAAATTGTGCTTTGTGCCCTATTTAGAAAGGAACGAAAGTGCTCATATTCTGGTGTTTCCGATGTGTTTGGCCTGGGAGACCATGCTATGATTACCATCTCAACACAAAAGTTACACTCACCTTGGGATTCGTGCGGGATCGCCGATATTTGAAGCCTGTAGGTTCAAGTGCATGAGATGGTTGCGCCAAAATCTCACTTTGATCCCAGGCAAATTTGTAGCGCCTCCAGTCTAGCGCATATTACGTTCCCCTTTAGCATAGCCAAAAAGCACCTCTAGTCAGTTTTCCGAGGATTGGCTTAATGCATTGGAGTCTATACTCCACGCCTGTACATCGATGCGAACCAGTGGTCTGAGCCATGTGTATATATCCGACGCTAATTTAGTCTCTGCACCATCACAACAGGCGATAACATTTTTCCTGTAAGTTACCCATTTAGATGAGAGCAGCAGTTCACGGTAAGTACTCGTCAGGGTAGCCACTCACATTTATCAGTGTTGATTTTCGCCCAGACAAGAGCCAAGGTGAGGTAAACTCAAGCGTACTTTATGAGGTTTACAAGACATCAAACTAACTATAAAACATTACGCTCATGGGACGAATAATGACGGACACCCGAGTATGGATTATAGCAACGTCCAACTGTCAGGCTTGTGTGGACACTTGCCATGAAATGGAAGCGCCTAGACTTTTTAGTGATTTTTCTCGATATTAAAAATGACACCACACAGCGAATGGTCAGTAAAAGCTTGGGAACCTTTCAAAAAAATCACATGCTCGGTGAAGCGCTTCAATTAAGTAAATGCAAACCAGCACGAAGTTGCTCAAGCGCATCAATTCGCATGTGCTATAATTCCTAAGGGTCACGCAACTGACTCCTTTTAAGGAAGTCAAAAACAGGTGAGAGAATCCCCAGACCAAAGGAATTGCATTAGTCCCGTGTCGTATATTCGGTAGTGCTTTTGGCATTAATAATACAATTCTCCCATGACGGAGACGACCAATTGAGTCTGTGTTGGTACACTGTACGAAAGACTGGCAAAGGCGCGAGTTGCCCCTGTAGTAAAGCATCAAGTAGAAAGGTGTAGCTGCGGTTGTCTGAGGTCTCAGGGTCTGAATGAATACATCAAGGTCAACAACTTAAAAAGAATATGCATGAATGTTAAGCTTAGGGCGAAAATAAACAGGTGCTAACGATCTCCGGTTCACCTATCGTCGGACGGACGATCAAAGAGAATTGAGCAGGTAAGAATGTGTTTGTAAAAAAAGCAGGGGAGAAACTTTTCGCGGTTTTTTGGGCTGCTAGGAGGACTCCATCAGACGACGAATGAAGCTGGTGACTCTCACGTAGACTTCATCTTGTTGATTCCTTGGTTTGCAGATGTCAGTGTGGTTGGTATCAACGAGAACTACTTCCGAAAACTCAGTATCTAAAATAATTTACAATGCGATAGGGGAAATCACTTCTGCGAGACGATTATCGAGGATACCTATCACGAATACTGCAAATGCTTGGAATTGCAAATAAAAGGACCTGAGATGTCAATTTCGGAGTTGCGAACGTTACATTGTGCAAACGAGTTTAATGTCGTAAAATTGGTAAAACATGATCCATTCAGTATGGGGACATTTTTAAAACGAGGACTTACGTGGCGCCATATCGAATACGAATCACTTAAACGTAAGATGGCAATTTAGGGTGTCTAAATGATGGATCATGATACAAATAATTGCAACTGAGTACAATAGAGCTGTAAAGATTCAAACACCAGTTAAAGTACTCTAGAAATACCACAGGAATTCTGCGACTTAGAAAGTCAAGTAATTAGATGGTGAGAAAGAGTCAGATTTGTAAATTAGGCGGGAACTCGAGTCCCGTTTGCACAGGATGTGTACATACTTTCTCTCGCCAGCCCAAGTACCTACGCATCCAGAACGGAGATCTGTGAGTGCAAATGAGACTACGTGAAGAGGCAAAGCGAGGGGAGGCGAGACGTGGCTTGGCCACTTCTCTGCCGCTAAGCCCATCCTCCCAGCAAGCATAACGAAGTGCAGTGGGGGCAGCAATTTAGCACTGTGGATGACCATAATCGGGACCAAGTGAACAGTGTCATAGCATTAGATGAGACCGTTGGAAAAGAGTAGCCCGATGTTGCATTTGAGTTCATCCCATAAAAATTGGATTGCGTAAATGGCATTTGCCTAAAGTTGGCACTTTAGGCAAATGCTTAAATGAAGGGAACACTAAAGTACGTGCTATCCCTGCACAAATAATGGAGAAGAAGCAGGTCTCACTTATAATTCCATAGCAAAAAGCATAGGTATTACATTTACACAACACACGCTACTACAGTTAAGCTTGAAATTTTATTTCTAATTTGCACCTTATAAGTTATGAGGATGTCAGCTAACCCCACGAGAGGGGGTTGAATTAGTCAGCGGCAAAGCTTTAGAGGGTCAGTTGTTTCATATATTCGAAAAACTAGAAATGAAGGCCATGGGTTGTGTTTTGAAAACAAAGTAGTAAAGCTTTATTCTGATGGTGTTCTACAGACAATGGACACGCATCATGGCCGAAAACACTCTAAATATGACGCAAATCCATCTATGTTATGCATTCGATTTCGATACAGAATATGCAAACGGTTGAGAGTGATTTAATCGAGTACTCCTAACAGAGAAGCAGGTGGAATAAAAAGGAAGACGATTTGGAACCTATATTCGGTCCCTGAGAATATACAAATGCGGCCCTGTAAGAGAGGTGGAAACGATGGACCACATCAGGAGGCTTGAATGATGGCTAATAAATGGGAAGGATTTCATAGTGATAGATGAGCTTTGGTTGTCAGAGTCATAAGTTTGGTTTTGCCACTTTTTAAATGCCTCAATTCGCTGCTTATTCGCAAGATAGAAAGAAGTATTAGTAACTAATAATCCTTGAAAAATTCGGGAGTAGAGGACTTCATCGACTGCTCACTCAGCGATGGCTTGGCAACGAACCCTCAATTACTAGTGGGTGTCAATGGAAGGCTCAACTTCTTGACAAAAATTGTTTAATTTTATATTCACGTACACTAATAAGACAAGGTTGGTGATTCAATTTCCTTAATCAGTTTGCAGACACCTTTAACCGAAAGTCTTGAGAAAGCATTTGACTTACCTTGAGGTTCGGGCTGAACGAGGTGCACAGAATACCATCGGTTGATAACTGTCTCCCGGTCTTCGACCAGATTGAGCACTTGCAGCGGACAGTTGGATGCCCACTCCAGGAACCAGTTGTGCAGACTTATTATCGACGCGTTGTCTGTCAAAATGCCAACGCAATAATTTAACCAAGTAATGTGCTTGGACATCGTCGAAAATAATCTAATCTAGTCCGAGTGAAGATAGGCATTCAATTAAAAATAATTTTAATGAGTTAAATCAAAAAAATATCACAATGTTAAACTTCACAGAGTATTTCGGGCATGGTACGATGAATATATACACGATAGGTTCAAATGTTAAACGATCAGATTGTTTCAAATAATTCCTAGTTCACAGTAAGACGTATTGTCGAAATAACTTCAATTATGTGAGAACTAGATTACTCACATCTTAAATGTAGGGCTTCTTAATCAAATCCATTTATGCCAAATCTCAAAATGTATGGATTTTCAGCAGAGCTGGTTAAAATAAACGCTAGATCACCTAGGCATCCAAAAATGCTATTATTTAACAATTCGCAATGACATTGAAGTGTGCCGTTAAGTTTAAATGTGATTAGCAGGCTGATATGTAGTTCGAGAAGGGATTGATCTCAGGCACACACACCTTGACGCCATGTGCACGCACACAACTGAAGCACCACATCCGCATTAACAAACCGCATCTGACCAAGTGAACATTGAGTTGCTCATCATACTACCAAAGTTGTATATCAAACCACCTTTTCAAGATTCTAAAGCAAAATGAACTTGGTAATGCAATGACATTTCTATAAACTGCCTCTCTGTTTTCAAAGGCTAGTCAACGTGGTATTTTGTTCCCAATGCATATTAACCAAATTTAAACGAATTTATGGAAGGCACCTGTGCAAACAGCAGTACTAATTGGCAGTGAACACGACTAGCTTTAAGTACTACTCTACAATAAGGCATCCAATGCTCCATTTCATAAATTCCATTATTTCCATAAGACGCACCGTTGATAAAGAAAGGGAGGATCAAAAAGGAGTGAACTAACTTTGCTGTAGCTGTTTTGCCTCTGGTGTGAGCGTGAAAACCATGGGGAAGTGGTAGAGAAACATCATCGACTGGTTGCCTCGATGGGGGACGGAGAGGAAGATGATACCTTTGGTTTGGTGTGCCACAGCAGTGGGCACTTCCATATCGACTGCGGAGTCCATCGCAATCGTGGCAACGTTCACCCTACCACCGAAACCACAATCTAATAAGGCGGTGTCCGAGGAGGCAGGGTCAACGTATTCATTGGCATGCAGATTCTGGGCGACGGATACTGCAAAATCCGTTGTGTGGAGGAGGGAATCCGAGGATTCCTCGTAATGCGACAGTACGGTGGCGGAAGACTCGGGGATCCAGGTAGCAGAGAGCTTCAGCACCTCTTTAGTGAGTATGCCTTTGGATTGGTAAAAAAGTGGAGCTTTGAAACCTAGTGCCTTGGGAAAAACCTAAATGACTGCATTATTTATTGACTTACCACCGGCAGAGTGCGCAACCCAGACGATTGGACGCCGACCGACACCGGCCAGTAAAAGTTGCTGTAAAATGTCACGAGCCCTTTCATCAATCCGACGCCTAAAAATAAGTGAACGATGGTGACTGTTCTGGGGTGGAAAAGTAATTAGCAGGTCTATGAAGAGGAACATGAAGTCGAATAGGTACCATAAAACAAGGAAACAAGCTCAAAAAAGAAAACTGAGAGATCCAAATTGACAAATTTTAAATGAAAGAATTAAAATGTATGCAAAGGTCTACCACGGCGGAGTAAATCTACCCACAAGCTAGCATATTTGCCTGTACTACCTTAAATCACTTGCTACAATTCCTCCTGCTAAGTGTGTGAATGGATTGGCAAACCCGTATAATCTTTAGATTAAATTTGAGTACTATTACTGTGACAATGACAGGTCATAAAACAATATTCAGGATTTGAGATCGTCTAGCCCGAAACATCTATTAAGATAAAAGTTGCATCATATTTAGAGAACGACAAAACATTGACAACTTCTTTGTGGTTGGATCTATGTAATGAAAAAAACATTGGAAGTTGGGATGATTGGCCCTTGATAGCATACAACACATCAAAGAATGTTTATAAATTCACCAAAAAATAAAGCATTTTCTTCCCTCAAATTTTATCAACATGTGCTTCATGCTGTACTTTGGAATTACAGCATTCACCAACTACACTTTAAAGTGGTAAAAAGCCCTATAAACTTTCACTTCATTTTTCGTATAAAATGTCTTTACCTACTGTCATTCCTCCCCCAATGCCTTCAAATGCTTGACGTCGCCATAGCTATGCAAAAAACTGTTAACAATTATATTTCCCAATCCTTGAATGTTTTCTGAGCCTCGAGTGCTTAAGTTTTATGTTTGCGATGGAGAATCAGACCAAACACGAGTTAGATCTTCAATAGAAGACGCCAGTAATCTAATACCTACAGATTGTGGTCGACATCCAGGCATGTACCTGACCGTAAAGAAACATATGGTTGTGAATCCAGGCATCAGAATCAGAGGGTGTTGATTTGATTAATCTAAATTTGTAAGTACAGGCTTAAAGCATATAAATAGGTTAACAAAACATACTTGGTCTTTTCCGCGGGACAAATGGGGTTCCAGACAAAAGGCCGTAAATTTGCATTGATACCCAGAATACGAGCTTCAGGGAACTCCTCGCTTAGCCAAGCCTTAATGAACACAAGGGAATAAATCCCACCGCAAACGCCGACAGCCAGATCAAAAGTTTGAAATGGTGATTAAGTACAATCGGTAATACATGTTGATAGATTCGGTGGAAACCCATAAAAGATCACTCCATCAAACAGGAATAATTCAATGCTTTAACATCACACAAAGCGGCACACATTTTTGTACAAATTCGTGATACAAAATCAGGAAATAGTAAAGGAGACGCCCAGCTTAATGAATTAAAAGAGGGTAGTACATTTATTCGACGCATTTCAGCGCCACTATCATCCATCATCCTATAAGGACAACGTCCGTTTACGCACTTTCTTCAAAGCATGCTTTCTCAGCTTTTCGTTAATGGTTTGTTGACTTTTTAACTTGAGATTTAGTCAAGCTTTGCTGTACGAAGTTAATCATGTATTAAGTTTTACCAAGAGCTAAGCTTTTCTTAAAAGAATGCTATCTATTTAGATAATGTAACATTAGTTCTCCCTTTATTACTGGTCTTTCATAAAGCGCTATGCAGAAGTAATGTTAATTCGTCCCTAATATAAACTACCACCCTATGAATTAATTTTCTAAATCTGAGTCTCTAAATTACTTCAATTAATTTCTCTTTTTATCAATGAATGTCGAATGACGCTTAAATTTATGTAGTAAGGCCGTACCCTCTTACTGGGGTCACTTTTTCCTACTGACCAAAATTCACCTACATAACCTGCCGAAATGCAGAGCATACCTGGGGCCAGCACCTAATTTGGCCAGGGAAGGAGGGAGACAATTTGTCAATGTCGCTGCTCGAATCATCGCCGCTTTCCGTAAGACTTTCCTCGCTCCCGGCGTTACAGGAGTCGCGTTGACGCCAGGTGTGGAACACACTACCTAGCATCCCGTTGACAAAAATTATGTCGATTTTGGGTGGTGGTGACCCCGGGCCGTCACTAATTGCGGAGAGAGTTTGAAAATTATATATATTCCCTAATTTGCATTGCTGATAAAAGATTCACACGTAGTCACACCGGCAAGCATTTAATTCCCCAGTAGTCGTGGATGAAATAAATACAAAATGATTGTGAATTAACCTAGTAAGCAGTCAATGAAGCACTGCTTTCGAAAAAAGCAGAAACTCTCACAATCATATTAGATCAATTTAATATCTATTCAAGCGTATTAGTTAAACAGGCAATATTCCTATATAGACAATCCCTCCTACAATCTGATTTACAATAAGGATCAAATACAGTCAGTAATACTCTAATTTAGAGAAAACCAATCTAGAGGTCCCAATCTGTAGTTATCGTTTAGGTTACTTAAATGCATCTTATGAAACATACTCCCGTTTGTCTAGCTTAAATACATCCGGCCCGTAAATTACGGGAGGGTCAAGATTTTCGTTTTGTGAGGGCGTTGAAACATCATGAAAGGTCGAAGAGGGAAGATAAAATCTCGATCTTTTTCCATCCGGTGAATTCCCAAAATTTCCCTCTTCCCCTTGCACCGCGTCGTTGTGTTCGGAACTCAGATACTTATGGGCAAGCAGGTTGTGCTGGATCTTGGTGGAGAGGAGCTGTAGCCGAACATCCTGTGACGTGGACCACATTTCAAGCCAGGATTTCAGGCCTATTAAGTAAATTACCAAAGAACAACTCAGTGGCTTTTATCTGGCTTAGAGTCAGTTTAGCACTTAAATAGCTATGCTCACTTCCGACACATATCTGAACACCATCGTTTTGAAAACGAAAATTCAGTTTGTTAAATCAACCGCACGTTAATTTATATCGACACTGATCCTATTAGAAAAGGCGAACCAAAAGAACGTATTCCATGGCTAGATAAGTAAAACCACGAGATTTAAACTTGCCTTGGGCCGTTTTGAAAAGGCACAATCCAGACAATGAAAACGCATGGTGAATGCCTCGTGCTATGCAATAAATTAGCCCTAGGACTCAAGTCACTTAAAAACGAGACTTGGCCATAGTAAACTTAACACCTATTTCCAATTTTCTACTTTAAATCGTGATTTAAATGCCTGTCAATTCTTTATACTAGCGGCTTCATGGACGTAATGGCCAACTTGTCAATGACCACAAGGCTAAGACAAGCCTAAACGCTTGCATATGCTCTCGACTTGAAATACAGAGGACAGCTTTCAAGAACTACTTTGCTCTTCCGAGTACGAAACCAATTCACATAATGTTTTGAGAGCCTTTTAAGACATTACGAAACCCTTTTTGCGTCACGCCTATAGGCGTCGAATTCAAGCATGCACAACCAACCTCAAGGTGAAATCAGCCCTTAACATAAACACCGCGAACCGTGAAGGAACCGCAACGTTTAAAAATGACTGCAGTAGGACTCGTTGCCTTTTACGTCATAGCTTTTGGCAAAAAAGCATTTTAGCTTGACAAAAAGTGGAGCTGTGGTAAAGCAGTAAACCTAATGAAGGAATTGTTCCCCATCTTAATACTAACTTCAATTGTGAACTTCAAGTAAATATGCAGCTTAAATAGTGATATGGTAACACAAACCCACTTAACGTCAATGAGATCGTTAGTCTAACCTAATTTAGGCACTCAAATAGCCAAAAAAATTTAATCCGACTTCTCTGAGGGTACGTTTATTGCAGTATAGTATGCTATTTTAGCTACGCAAATTATGGACGATATGCTCAGTTCAACATTCCACGATTCCATCCCGGATTATACACGGCCTTTGGTGGCTCTCATCAGAGGGCAGCTATTTTAGCCCTATTTTTCTACAATGCCTCATGCATATACTAAGTGCCATTGTTTGATAAAATAGTATTGTCTTATCTCCTAAGTATTATTAGGCCAAGTTTTCAGTGTCACGTGATTAGTCTCAGCTTTTCTGAATGATGAAGCTACTTCCGAACTCATGCTTCATAACGCTTTTGGAAACAACTCGGACTGCAACATGTTATGGGTTTTAAGCAGTTATCTGGGTGTGTTTTCGTTACCTACAGGGCTGGGAGAGAGTGGCGACAGCTTCAGGCAGAAGGGAGAGGTTGGCGAGGAAAGATGCGAACTGGAACTGGCAATAGCCGAAGCGAATGAGGTGGTCTTTGGGCCGAGAGCAAGGAAAGGGAGTGAGATCGTGAGCAGCCGGCACCTCCAGGCAGCGAAGGAGATTGAGGTCCGAGGCCGCGCTGGCCTCTAACCCGTCTGCGGGGAAGTAGGCTGCCAGGAGGTAGATGGCCATGTTCTCCAACTTGCCTATTGTGTGCTGCACCAACTCTGACGACACTTCCTCTGGTGCCACTGCATTCAGGAATCCATTCGACTGCCAGAGGGAAAGAAAGGAGGGTTGTTAATACTCGGAAGCACCTCGGTGGCTTTAGACATAACACCAGTTTTCAGCTTTACCAAAAAGCCGATTCAAACCTATACCACTTTGAAAGAGTGGACTCTACTACAGTTACTGCCCTCATGGCAATCTGCCAAGCGATGGTAACGCGTGCAAGATTTCAAACCTAGACTTAAGAGAAGTAAATTACTTTGCACTTTTCCAACCGAAGCATTTTGTCATTAACTAGATTTCGAGTTTATATTTACTAATTACTTACTAAAAAACAAAAATTATTTAATTAAATCACAGGAGAGTTTTGTGCTCCTAGTTTGACAAATGTGTGCTCTCGACACAAACCTACTCCACTGCACAGTTTCGATTCAATTTTGAATTTTGACAAGAATAGTGGGTAGCAGCAATCAATGTGTTTTTCAAAGGCTGTGGTGAAAAAATGTGAGATGAATAAAGATCCAAATGCTGTTCTAGAGCATGTGATTTTGCACACGAACCTCTGGTGGCAAATGTCGGATTAATGTCGTCAAACAAAGGTCAAAACAGCGTTTCATTAAATGAAGGTGCAAAATCAACCTTAAGCTCTGTTACTTTCTCTTTTATCACAGCGGAGAAAGACCTAGTTTCAATGCACCACAATCGTCGAATTGGATTTTGCTTATAAGAGAATCTGGCAGTACATTAGAACGCGTAGATCAGTCACTTCAATACTCATTGCTTTCAGATGAAAGCTGGGTGGTGGTTACATATGAAAAACCCGTTTGATCATTCACAAAGTCATATTGTTGAAACAGATATTACAAATCGGTTTCCTCCTTCGGATGGTTTAACAGGGAAGGCATTTGCAAAGGCGCGTTAAGTTGCTGACAGGCAAACTAGAAAGAGCATCCTCCACAAAGTGGTATAAAACGAAGGTTCAGATATTGCTATGTCAACTCCACGTCGACGCAGTTTTCGGAATAACTTTTAGATGCTGTACCTTGTGAATCACTGTTGTCGCACCAAGCCGCAAATTTTGTGATATCATGAAGATTTAAATGGACGCTATAGACGTCTTATATCAAACCGTTTGGAGGAAAGCGCTAAAAGACCTCAACCCTCTAGAATTCCTCCTTTTTTTCCAAAAGAAACAAATGTTGACTGACCTTACTATAGAATGTCAGTAACTCAAGCTGCTCCATCAGAGCTTTTAGGTTATCGTTTGAACTGGAACGACGAAAAGGTAGTCTGGCATAAAAAGACTCTGGCAAGTGAGTGGGGAGGTCAAGCTGAAAGAGTACAAAAAATAAGTAAGGTTGGATTAGCAAATTAAATTCCGCCAAACTTTCTCCTTCGCACAGAAAAATGGTAATCACATGCACACGCAGCAAGCATCAGCCAACGCGAGCATAATATAAGCGAAATGCTAGTGTGAATAGGTAAAAAATCCTAGTCTACCCAAAAACACCACATGAAGATCAGAGTAGGTATAAAATTTTGCTAATGCGTGACTCAGTGGGAGATTACAGCTTCAAATGTGTAATCTGGTCACTCTAAGTTACACAAACACGACCAAAATTTACGCAGTATTGTGCTAGCCTACTTACAGCAAGCTCTCCAGGTGTCTAAGACCCCAGAACCGATCGCGACCTCATCTGTCGCTAAGATCAACGGGCTGGAAGTAAGCTTTCCAGCGAGAGAGCAATGTTTGCGATAAAAATTTGACAAAAATAATCAAATCACAATTACCTAAACTGTTTAAGGTATAAGGGAGAAGTTACTAAGGCTATCGAAAGTCTCGAAAAATAGTGGCAGACGAGCGAAAGCAATTGAGAAAAAAACTCACACTAGAAGCGATTCCCTTGATGATGTTCATTGAGTCAGTGAAGGACTGATCGACCAATGCAACGGCGGCCTGCTCCTCAGCCGGTGAAGGGGACATGAAGCTACCTATAGCGCTCAGAACACGACGAACCAAGGAAGTGCCATCATCAGAGGTTGTCGAAGACGCCTAGTATTTTACCGCATAAACATTTCATAATGAATTCAAGAAAAGAAGGCTAAGGTGACATCGATTCAGCGTGAGACATGTGACAGATGTAAATAAACTATGTCCATAGCGAAAGTGGGAGGTGATATGTTCATGTTCATACCAATCAAGAGAGCAAAAAATCCAGGCAAATGGGAAATATCAGACAAATTGGGATTTCCTGGGATTCAGTTACAAAGACAGGGTGTGTTAAGTGCAAAACATCGTTAAAAACAGATTCTATATGATTCCAGACATACAGTAGTTATCTTCCTAGAGCATTAGTTTAATGAGCTGATAGGGATTATGCGACGGTCTCACTTAAGGATGGACCAATATCGCTAACATGAGGTACATTAGATTGCACTTTTTTACACTTTTTCATTGAAAAAGACACGCTATCTAAAGTAAGTGGAAATGTGAGTAGGTCAGACGAAAAACAAAAATTTTAATTTCTTGATCATGTCATTTTGTGGGTCAAAAGGCGTAAACTAATTTGCCCTTCAGGTACTATTGTTTCCTATATCTGCCTGGATAATTGTGAATGTCGAATTTTATGATGCAAATTTTAGACAAAAACTTCCAACTCTATAAACTTAGGTAAAGAAACCCAGCCGAGCTCCCAATACTTTGCGTGACTGGAATGAGACGAACTAATAACTTTGTAATACAATAAAATTAACTTTGCAAATGTGTGGAAACTATTGCTGTCTTATTAACAAAGGCTATTGACTGAATTGTGCCTGAAAAACCGAAATTTGCAAAATAGTACCACAAAAAAGGAGCCCGAAAAATAAACAATCAACTTAGTAAAAAACTCGTTAGGTATTGAAAAGGGTAGGTGGAAGCGAAAGTTCCCAGGGCATGCAGACCAATATAACATATTCAAAGGCAAAACATCTCCACAACCCTTGAATGCAAAGAATTCGCCAAAAAAGGTGGCTTTCGAAGTTTATTTATGGATTTGTCAACAATTAATAGACCTGCAAATTTTTCAGGGCGGTGAAAAGTATGGAGCGTTCCTAGCTCATACTAAAAATACATTATCTTTTGAAGAAGATGAAACAAGATATTCAGATTTACTACTTTACGCAACAAATGGAAGATCCCATCAACCAATAGAATGCTGTAAAATGTACTAACCTCCATATAAAACAGAAGTAAAACTTATTTAAAAAATGATTGTATATGACTACTACAATACCGTTCTGTTCTAACTTTTAGAAGTTCCAGCTGATTGGTCACCTTCGAACTTTCTAGAAAGTCGTGATCTCTCTCGACCCTTCTTGATTGGCCCACATCAAGCAGAAAATGTGCTCTAAGTGCACTGATAGCCACTAGAAGGCGGGCCACGCTCAATCAGTTGCTAGGACTACGCGTAACTGAAATTACTGAGACATGCAAATCACACTCAGGCAGTCTCCACCCTCTAGCCACCAGGCCGGTACCCCCCTTGTTTGCTCATTACGCCGACAGTAGAGATACCTATTAGTTAACCGGTTGGGAGATCGACAAAGTCCACACAACTCACGCACATAAACACCAGATTAGAAGAGTTGACAATTCAGTTAACAGCGTGCTGTAATGAAGGAATAAAGGGTGATGGCTTAAAACCGGAATAATACATCACGGGGGTAGCCATAAGTGAATCTAGGATATCAAGGACACAAATGTAAATGAATACCGAACAAAGTTAAAAAAAGCTTAATAACCATAATTTGCGATTTCACGGGTGAAGACCATTCATTGATGAAAGTGGTGGGCCATAAAGCAGCTTTTTTTGCACCCATTTAAGAAAGAAAATCTACTGGTAAGAAAATTAATGCTAATTAAGTATTTCGTTATTAGTGAACATTTTTGTCAAAAGGGAAGAAGTTTAGCTAATTTATCAAAACGATTTTACAACTTCAAGAGGCTAGAATTGAATCTAACTCAAGGAAATAGCCTAAAAAAACCTTAGTTCATTTTCATCATCCTACGGTTAGACTTTTCCATTCGCGCTTAATTTGGGGTGCATAAATAATGGATACGAGTGATAGAGCATGTTATTTCATTGTTATATGGCTTAGAAACACCATAAAAAAGGTGGTTGATAACAAAAACGGATGTTTGTAATAATGAGGCGCTGCAAAAGTCGTAACGCGATATCGGGAAAGAAGAGCCTAACGGACCATGATAGATCGCTCTCGAGATGTCAATGCCGTATCCTGTCCCCAGGCCTCTGAGACCGCAGCCCCGGTCGCGTCCTCACATGTCACTAAGACCAACGGATCAGAGACGTGGCCTTCCAGCGGGAGAGCAACGTTCTGTCCATGCTCGTTCTGCCGGCGCCTCCGAAAGTGGGCTACCAGAAGGGTCCTGTAAGAAAAAGTGGACCCATCTGAACTCATCACAAACCGATTGGAGGTAAGCTCCCTGCATTTAGGCAAGCTGAAAACCACTGTTCATCGATGAAAGTCAGAGAGAGGAGACAATATTGCCAATTGCAATGACCCTCTTCCTCGAGATCTCATATTGCTTAGCGTCAAAGCATGCATGAAAAATGACCAAATATTACGGGCGAGCATGGGAATGGTTGACTACTCTGCTCGTAGTCCTACTTGGTATTGCATGTTTCTTATAAATAGCAAAGTACACTTTTACCCTAGATGAAAAGTGAAAGGAGTACCATTACCCCCATCTACCAAGCAAAGTGGTTAACTTCTGAAAGTGATCAATTGATTGGATGTTAAGACAACAGAATATATGGGCTATTACCTAAAATGAATACTTTCAGGACAATGAAACATAAAATAACTCGGGTGTTATTTCACCGCGGGTTTTTCCAAAAAAAAAAACTAAGCAAGGCGGTTAGGGCATGCATAATACCAAGAGGAGTCGTCCCTCCCTACTTATTAGGAAGGATTGCCCAAACATCGGACGCGTGCTAGTAACGATAACAACCTCGATTCATAATTTAAGATGGCATTGTTGATAGATGTTTCCAGTTCACTATAACAACCTAAACAAAAGAGGCTGTATTGTCAAGACTATGGATGTCAACCGTAAGTGCCAAATTTGTCATGGATCGAGACGGACCAAAAAGAACATTGATGAGTCAAGCAGCCTTACCTAAACAGTTCAACAAAATTAGCACTAAAGTCTTGCGACTTATTTCCCTACAGGTTACAAAAACACCTATCCTGCGTAAATAAAGCTTTGCTACTATCTTTTAACGAGTAAATAACCAGCAAGCTACTTTACTACTGGTTTCAACATCGAGTAGTTCAAAGAAGTTCATTTGAAATGCACAATAAATCTCTCGAGGTCAACGTTAAATAAATATTTACTAATCCAGTTTAGTTTACAAAGGAAAAGGTTGTCTTGGCAGTAAGCGCGATGTTTCGTCGTTAAAATTATTTGTTGTGTTTTAGTCTTCCACAATTTTGGACTAATGCTAGGAGAACAATGCGATCATGCTAGAGATGGTAGGCGGAGTAATAAAAAGCACCACCCAATTTCTTGCACTCATAAAAATTTGACGTTAATGCATTTACGAAAAGGCTTAAGACAAGGTACCTGATTATTTTGTGCACGAAAAATTAACAAGGGTTTACCTACTAAGGTTCACCGTCAAATGTTAGCTTGACTTTTCTTAAAAACGTGTAGAAAGAAAGAATTGAGGCAGAAATCGCGACTTACCCCCAAACAGCCGATAGAGAAATCACGCGAGCCACTAAAATATTTTTAAAAATGAGGTAATTTGTTGAAATTATAGGGCAAATGAGCTCAAGCTAACAGGCCTTCCCAGAAGTAATCATGATTGGAGTAAAAACGAAAATTATACCGTGATAGAATGATTTGCTTTTCAGCGCAGTTCGTTTATTTACAATGGTGTTGCTAGTGTACACATGCCGTACGGTCGCCAAATGTCAAACAGGGTTCATCATACAACATCGGAAAAATACACGGACTAAGCCAAAAAGTAGTACCAACTCATTAAGTCTATTAACCAAATTATTTTGGCTATAGCTAAAACAAATATAGCATATGTTCAGAGCTAATACAGTTAGCATCCAGTTTCCTTGTGTAGGTACCGCAAACAAAGGTACGTGAAGCGTACGCAATTCCAGTCCCACTTTGGCTTACCTGAACCCAGAGGGAAATGTATTCTATAACTATTATTAAAATATGAAATGAACACATTTATTGAATACCAGCGGAAAATTGTTGAAATTCAATTTCAACAACCTTTTAACGCAAATTGTATATATGCATACACGAGTTACTAAGTACGAAAAAAAATCACTACAAAAAAAACTGTTGCAAACCGAACAAAATTCAAGGTTAGATGATAAGAGGGTATAAATTTCATTGCTAGTTAATCACATGAATGACATTAACCAGCTTAACCAAACGATAAAAATAACGCTAACGCATCTAACTGAAAAGACCACCCAATTTTTACTTACCGTTAGTTGTGAAATGCATAGTCAGGACAGAGAGGGGCACTAATATTTTCGGGTCATGTCTGAAGGTGGAAGAATATTGGAATTAGTAACTCGTCCTAAAGTGTTCACCACGTTAAGCGATATTACGCCCCACCTAGACGGTGAAATGCCTAGCGCGAGAAAAGGTCACATGGACCAAAACTCTGGTTGTTGATTATTCTACAAGGATTGCTATTCATCGCGGAAAACCTGATACTAACATTTCGAATCAGTCCGATAAGGCGGCGTTACTTTAGCGCCAAGATGGAAGTGCTAAACAGTCAGCTGGTTTCCGGGAGTTTTCCTTGAAAAAAAGAATACCGGAGCGTATGTAACAATTATTAAAACAATTCATCATAGTAATTTGCCTAGCTACTTGTATTAGTATGGAGTTGGAAACAAGCAGGTTAAAGGGGAAACAGGTGAAAACGAAAAAGCTCAGCCAGCCAAAAAACGCATCTCGGAATTTATAAAGTGAACAACCGAAGATATCTAAGTAAACGTTCATGGCCGAAAAAAACACGCTGAGCAAACAAATTACTTAAGGAAATTACTGCCGAAGGTGGTTAGCTCGCAGGTAACCTACCCCAGAAAAGCCCTGAAAGCGCACCAAACTGAAAAGTGAACTCGTTGTATAATAAATATATATTTAATAAGCTCGAAAAAATACCAGGAATTCTCAATGTGATTAAATGCTCATTTTCCATCTATTCTTCAGGTGACTGCATATAAAGACCATCAAATGTAGCAGTCAAATTAACCGCGTATGCATAGCGTTCAAGATCGAAATTGTTACTGGCCTCTTGTGGAAATATGACAGGTTCGGCAGTTGCCTGAATCTCATGAGCTTGTGTGACGAGACCTTGAACCTCAACTATACACGACTCCGGCGAAATCTTAACAAGGGCAGTAGGAACAATACAGGAACGGCTTACCTGAAGAGGTGATGAAAGGTTACACCTGACCTCAGTACCATCTGCACATTGTAACGTGATCCGCCGACCAGATGGATCAACAGAAAGTGCCTTACCCAATATGCAAACTTCTCTATTCTCTAAACGTGGGATCAAGGCTCCAACAATCCTAAAACGTGGCCCACGTTTCCCCGTTTCCATAGTTTTCTTCCTAAAAATCGAAAATACGTGATGATCAGACTCAAGCGAAAGTAGAAAAAAAATCAGAAGAAACACCATTTGAAGAAAATTCAATTTAATGAAAATTGATAGCGGTAGCACTAAATTTTAAAGCCAAGAGAACGAAGACAGGCTAGGTGCGCTTCAATCAAGTCATTGCAATTTTCTTCTCCGCGCTCCACGATGCATTCGTCCCGTGCCTTTCGAGTATCGGGACAGGCACAGCAAGGTTTCAGAGGTTTACCATCAGGACCGACAGGAAACTTGTCGGCGTCAGGCATCACTAGAAAGGGTTAACCAGAAAACGATGTACCGAATGGATTACTACACATTAATTGAAGAAGGAAAACGAGTATAATGAATAGTTTTATTGGCGAGACCCAAATATGTGAGAACCAACACGAACCAGAGTGCTACCCATTGTAATCTAGACAATAAAGTACCAAGTTGTAATAAATGAAGAATAATTACGGCCATCTCATAGTCTGAAGACATTCCCATACTTAAATGAAGCGAATGTTTCGAGATGCCCAGTGCATCGCAGACCATATTTCTGCAATCATACAGACACTACAACCACAATGAACAACAACAATGCGTACCGAGAAATCAGGATTAGGTTCGAGATTTTCATCGTAACCATACCTCCCGATTGTCATTAATCCACGCAAATTAAGGTGGGGGCAGCATTCGAATACAGCTTTATATAGGTCGACGAGGTCCGAGACAGCAACTCCACCCTTCTCTATAACAAAACTAATCGACCCAAGCAAGTTACGTTCTTCACCACTGGTATTGACTTGAATCAGAACATCAAGAGGCCTGCTGGACACTTTTTGCCATGCGCTATTGAGTAGGTTTGCAATTTTCAAACTAGACACTGTCTGCACCATAGCCAGGTTAGGAACGGCTAACAACGCTAGATAAAACTCATATTTACAGGTAAGCAGTTTGATTTTATTAGACTGTAGTCTCCCAATAAAGTGCCACTGGATTTCCGGACATTTAACCTCAAGCTGAGAAATATGAGCTAATACACTAATCCAACCTCCTCATTATTGCTTTTTTCAACTAGCTCCTGAATCTAGAACAATTCAGATAAAAATCTCTAGACTACATAATTTTCCCCAAATGCCTTCTGGCCAGCATTGTAAGCCTCGATAACAAGTCCTAGAGGCTTTGTTTTTGAAACAGCAACTAACTGTGGGAATGGCTGGCCAGTGTTTTCAACCTCAAAAACTTGAAAACTAAGGCAGTAAATACCTTTGCAAACGCCGCTTCAATTTTCTGAAGCACTAACTCCAAATTCTTCGCTGTCGAAACTGACATACTCTTTCCAAGGCAAACGAATCAAAACGCGACCAAACAAATTTGAAGCGGCACCACAGAGAAGGAGCTTATTATAACAATCTAGAGTAGTCCATACGGCTTTAACATCTTTGGCTTAAAATATTGCACCTGCTTAAATTCCTTTGCTTTTAAAGTTTAGTAATTACTTCAACTATTTTACGGACAAAATTTGGTGCACCAGATCTGAGTCTATGTATGATACACACCTGAGTTCGCCCTATTCTCCTTCCAAATCGCCAATTGATGATCACCCTTATTTTAAGCTACGTAATCAGAGCCCCTTTTGAAGTGATTTGGAGCAACGACTCTTAGCACAGATCTGTCGTAATCAGAATAGTTTTCATTTTGAACCGAGTCGGCTTGCCACTACCACCGATTTTTTTCCGAAGTCACAATAAGACAAAGTAATGTGAATGAACGCATTAAGAGGGCATGCAGGCGCTGTGTAGCAGAGCAAAACACACCCTTCAGAGATCGAATTACCCGCGTAGTCAAAACAACTAAAGAATCCACCGAACCACCAATGTAGAACCTGATTGAAACAAAACCTTGCATTTTCTGTATAAATAGTGACGAAATCACTAGATTTAATGCCATCCGACCCCCTACACAGATTATCAATGGTACTCTGCACTCCAGAAGGCTTTCATAGGAAAAACATATCGTGTTTATTTATGTTTTCTTTGTTAATGAGATGAGTGAACTTGCTTTTCTTCTAAAGCGTGGAGATTGAATCCATTAACCACTATGGCGCTGGGTGGTACGTGTTCCTTTATTCAACTCCTTTTACCGTCAAATATTATCGTTTTCGGTTCAATGTACCTACCCCAAGACCGAAATTTTTGCTTTTATAGGGGCTTTATTCTGTTTGCTGTGTTTGTTTCAACTACTCAGTTATAAAAAATGCTAGAACGCCAGCTTTTGGTCGGTAATTGTCATGTTTGTTCTTGGGTACACAGTAAATCATGAATTGAAAATGCATTCAAATATGTATTATCTCATTTCTCATTGTGTTTGTACTTCACTCGCGTTTGCGAAAATAAAGCTTAAGAACAACTTGTCTATAATGATCTACTTACATGGGACCACTTCCAGCTTGCCGGTTTCGCGTTTCCCCGTGTTTTTTTCACTCAGCCATGTGTACTGGTTTGAGGCATTCGCGAAGCAAACTAGTCTTTTTGTCACGAGGCACCGTATGTGCGCTGCCAAATGTGGAAGGTTTTTGAATTGGCGATCCGGCGACATGACGCATGGTCTAGTTTGGAATCTTAGCTACAGCCAAAGTTAAACAACTGGTGTTATCGATACCAACGTCTGTCGGTGCAATAGATTTCCTTATAAAAATGTGTTGCTTATTAATTTTTAGTAACAAAATAACAGTGTAAGATTAAGGGTTTGACATGGCGCAGCCGCGATGCGTCGGTGTGACCGATCCGCTCAATTGGAAAGGCTATCTACCAATTTCGTCTGACTTGCATAGTACAATTCACGGTCGTTATGTTTGCATCCTGGAACACCCAGATTTACAGTCATATTCCAATTTGTATATTTATGCCATCCAAATGTCATGTTGTGAAGAAGCTTCTGACTTTTTAAGTTGCCGCTCCATTCAACAGAGGGACTTTACTTAATCGGAATCAGTCTTTTGTGCTCCTTATAAGTGGGTTAGTGGGTAGATGAATTAGTTTGTTCATCAAAATCAACAAAAAAAGAACAAAATTGCTAGCAAAACTCCTTACGCGTGTCGCATTTCACCTACAGTAACTTCGGAAAATTCACACAGTAGGATTCGTAATGCAGCAGTGACGGTGACTCTCAGTTGGGTAGTTAAGGTCATATGAGCTTGTGGCTGAGTCTGTAGACTGCGAGCCTGTGTAGCCTGTATACCTCGGTATTCAGCTGACTGATTATCATCACCGAAAGAAATCGACTTAGATTTACAATATCTCGGCTGCTTAATAAATAATTTTAATAGTCTCAGAATGGGGGGTAGTTCAATTACCTACTTACATTAAGCTAAGAAATATCACATTCTCGGATTTGCGTATCGACCACACAAACAAAAGTCACAACTAAATTACTGCTACCACAAATAAAGTGCATAATTCGAGGTTGGTTTGAAAAATAATCTGATCACTGCGTGCATAAGCGGTTCGCCGTGGATTTGGTGACCTGACCAGCAGTAGACGTGGTGTGGAGACGGTGGGTCATAAAGCAGGAGCGCCAGTACCACGGCTTACTGTGGTGACTAATCGATCGATCAATCGATCGGGCTTGAGGTGAAACCTCAACCCAATCCGAGGTAGACGAGGCAGGGGATGCAAGCTGCCCCGAAACTAGCCCCATTTATTATGCCGAGTTCTGTAAGAAAACGGAATTGCTCACACCTTTCAACTGACACAAAGGAGGGCGTCCAACTGAATGTCTGTGGCCCAAAGTAGTTGCTACACTTCCTTAGGGATTAAAATCCTCTATACTCGCTGATGTGAAGGAAAAACGATCCTTTATGGATCAACCATTTCAATGAGACCATGGGGAAGTGAATATAAAAAAGAGTTTTACTTTAAGGATATGAAAAACATCCGCTCTTTTGAGATGCGTATCCGCGTCTACTTCAGAGTGCATTTGTATAAAACGATTTGGGTATTCAATTGTTCCCTTATCTCAGTTATTTTTCCATGCCGAATTTGCACAGGAAAATCGTAGTAATTTCAACTTTGAACTGTTTGGGAACAACTAAACTGAACATTTCAATGCTATTATCGGAAATCACTACCACCTCTTAACAAGAGGACCCAGTCTGTTCTTCACTTGAGATGAAAATACAATGGGACATTTTGATGCCAATCCACCAACCATAAGAAAGTTCATTTCATTTCCATTATCCTTCACGATTCATGTGGCAAACCATGACGATCGTCATTCTGGCAGGAACTGGATTGGCGTCACGGGCAGGCGCAGCCGCGGCGTGACAGCAGCAGTTTGTGGCGCCGGGCCCCATCCGCAATGCAAGTCTGAACCAGTGCGCCGGACACGTACAATGACGACGACGACGACGACTACGAGGAGGAGGACGAGGCTGGGAGAGCGCCATACCGTCGTTGTGGTGATGCACACGCATGCAGCGTGTGGGGTGTGTGGTGAGTCAGACAAACGTGTGGCCGGGTACGAGTGCATGTGAGTGCGTGCGTGCCTGCCTCGAGTGCGTACGTACGTGCAAGTCGGCTGACGGATGCGCCTGGCCTCCATTTGCCACAGCAGTAACGTCTGTGCGCACTCTTCACCCCACACACACACCGTGCCACGCCACACCACACCACGTCAGAATAGGCTGGGTCGGGCCACAGGCTACGGCCGCAAACGGGTGGCAGTGGCCATGTATCGCATTGCGTTGGCCCAATGCACGAATGGGCTGCACTGCCTTCAATACACTGGGCTTAAGCTGTATACGCGTATCAAATGAATGCTTCGGCCAACATGTGCGAAATTGATCCAACTTCTGCCACTGCTGTCAAGCCGAGTGGGCGAGAAGCAAAATGTAATGCGTTGTCGGGGCTAATAATCTCGAGCGCATTATTCGGGATTCGTGCAACTTGGTTTCACAACTCTGTACACCCACTTGACAAAAATGCGATATTTTATAGGATAGAGGAATGCTACGTGTTCACATAAATGGCAAATTTTATAGTAAACAAACATGATCAATGGGTAAATAAGCGTCACTTCTTCTGTCCGAGTGTTAGTGTTTTCACTATAAGCCAGCATAGCCTGCTAAGCCTAGTTTTGGCTCCCTCGGTGACATAAAATAATTTTTGTGCATGCATGTAGCTTAATGAATGGAAGTAGGAAGTGCGGGAGTTCGCCTATTCTGGCACGCTGCTATAATCTGTTTCAGATGAACGGGCTTGAAAGCTTGTTGTTGATGGTAAGAGTCGGGTCGTAGCTTATGTCGATTTACGGTTCCGTTAGGAGCAACCCATTACTGGCGTTTTTGGAGAACTACGTACATATCTTAAGTTTAAGGGGGGAAATAGGAAATTTACGAAGCATTCCACATCACCCTAGTACTAGAAGTTGATAGTGAGTACTAAGTTCGCGGGAAGGAAGGATATTTTAAAGACCGGAAGCTGTATATAAAGTTTTAGTGGTGACAGGTAGTGTAAGCATCGCCGCAAAAAAGACTAACGCGCTTTTGAGTAGGCACTATCCATACCATGTTAGATTATGGTATGGGTGATACTTTGTAGAGTTCCTCTTGAATCAGGCCGTGGCTATGCGCATAACTGCTACTTTTATCAGCCAATGTTAAAATTGTACTGATTTGCATGGTTTCGTTGGGGTTTTTACACGGTTTATAAAGTTATCACAGCAAGTAGATGCAAATACGAGTGGCACTTCAAAGCCCCGTGTTCAGAACGCGAACATGTGACTATCAAGAGGCTCATTTAGGAGTGGCATCATGAGCAAAATACCGTCGACGAAAATCCGGCATAATTTATGCTCCTCATTGATTAGCTAATATCGGGTACGCGACTCGCCGCCAGAACCCCTTCCTTAGATGCAGATATCCGACCTGGTGGGAGTAGATATGTGGACAGTATGACAGCTGTGTTCGTAAAAAGTGGTGGGACTTGTTCAGGGTTGGAGCCCGCGCACTAAGGAAATAACTAACTAGGCATTTGACACGCTAGTACCAGCCCAGAATGAACTGAGCACCTGATCAAAGGTACTGCCCATGCAAACGTACTAAGGCAATAACCACTTTGGGTAAGCGATCTATGGGAGGGCTTCAGGGAGGTTTTCCGCCATTGGCCAAACCAGATCAATAAGGGAACCCGCTTGCTTGGAGAACCGCTCGGAGAACAACCAGCACCGTTATCGCAATAGACTAGAACTGGCTGGAAGAACTCAGCCCAATGTTAGCACAAGCTCCAGCCGAGGGCCTGGGCAGAGCAGCCACCCTGAGACGCTTGCATGTCAAGCGCACCCCAAAATCCGACGTCCAATCACAACCCTCGGTAATAGGGCACAAGCGGTCAGCTCACACGGCCCAGCATACAAACCACACAATACTCAAGATCTCTTAGTGCAACGTCAGCTACAACTCACACCATCCGAAAGAACACGGGAAAGTAGACATACAATCGCACTATAGAAAAAGACCACTATCCAAAGGGTACACAGAAAAGACAACAGGGGCTGCGGAGGCGTAAAGTGGGTTGATTGAGGGAAGTTGATTACAAGGTATTTCCAACATCGCCGCAGCATAGAAAAATAGTAATGACGGTGGGCAAGCGAGAGCGTACATACTGAAGGATAAATGCAACGAGACACAAACTGTACAGAATTGAACGAATTGGCCAAATGGATCCCTTACTCGTCCTCGCCTTCCTCTCCACCCTCTTCCTCCTCTTCTTCCCCATTCTCAGCCACAGCGTCACCACTTCCTGCTTCAGGATTAGACACAGTCGAGTTGTCAGCTTTCGACTGCTTCTTCAGTGGAACATAGATACCCTGACGATATTTGTTCATATCCTAGAAGGGAAGAGTAATGGCAAAAAACTAGCCAATAGGTGGAAGCAAGTAACACTGAATAAAGGCATGCCTCCTCGTAGCGCTGCTTGTCCTGTTGTGCGAGCGTATCATACTTCGCCTTTTCAGTACATTCCTCCCACCTTCGCCCAAGCTCCTTTGCGATATCACCGACTTTCCACTCTGGATGCTCATCACGAATTTGTTGACGGAACTCATCGCAGAAGAAGAAGAAAGCTGACAGAGCACGCTTCGGGACGGAGGGATCCTTAGCTGCCTTCCTTTTTTTGGCCTTCTTCACCCCCTCTGGGGGCACATAATCGACCATCTCACGGTTGTAACGCTCTTTGTCTAAGGCCGCCATGTCTTCAAACCTCTTCTTCTCTTTAGGAGTCATAATCTAGAAAACATGAGCTGTCTATGGAAAATAGGACGTACCTTCCATCGCTCGGCACACTTGCGAGAAAAATCACTGAAAACAATGTGTTCTCCGGGATGCTTTTTCTTGTGCTCTTCGCGTATCACCTGAACGAAGCAGGCGTAAGCCGACATCGCCCCCTTAGGTCTATTCTTGTCCTTTAGAACACGACTCATTTCCTTCTAAAGGCATATAAAAGCGGAGCATCAAAAAGGCACCACATACACAGAGGTAGGCAATACAGGTAGCCTTACCACGCCCAGCAAGCCTATGCTAGCTTGTATGGAGATAGCTTAGCTATTTGGCTGTAGACAGCGCTGGCTACAATCAATCTATGCGTATGGCGAACCAGCCAATGAGGATAGGCAGTGAATAAAAGTAGTTGGCATTAAAATTGCAAATAAGGTTAAAATACTGCCATTCGGAATAACCGCAAAAAAGCACTTTAAGCTTTTGTGGTGTATTTGCCCTCTTGAACTAAAACTGCTGAAACCAAAGATGTTGTTTTGTTTTAATGTATCATGTAACCAGCACTAGAGTTGAATGACGTTCCATAAATGGATACCAAACTGAAAAGTACTTTTGTAAAACTATTTTATTCAACAAATGAAAGGATAGCCTGTGCAGTGGAGGTTAGAAGACTTAATAAAGTCAGGAAGAGGGCGAAGTTTTTGGCGTTTTCGAGTAATTGTTTCTATTTTGATGCAACTTTAGTTTCGATTGAGAAGCCTCCCGTTATACAAATTTATATGGTTAAATCTAACGAAAAACACGACTTCTCCAAAAAGCTCCTAATGAACTCTCAAACTCTTAAGGTCGTCGACTGCCACGATGTGTCGGAACAACCATCGTATGATATTGAATTAAAGACAGATACAAAGGTATCCTCTTTTAGCCTAAACAGATGTTTTGCGTCAAATATAACAACATTTGCTAGTTTTATGGTCAACTTACCGAGGTAGTGCGAACGTTCTATCTTCCTGATTTGTGTAGAGATGGTGCCGTACCCGTAACAGTGACACTTAAAGCCAACGTTTTGGAGAGTATTTTCTTGACTCCATAATCGATTATGCATGCCACATTTAGTGGCACGATTACCACTCTTAGAAATACTACTACGTACTTATCTGTAAATTTTATTCTACGGTAGAGCGTTTCCTTTTGTGTAGTCGTGGCGGGTTTCTGCGATTCGACTGGAAGAGAAGAAACGGTTCATATCGATGTTTTGCAGAGCCGTAGCAATTTACCAGCCACAAATTTATCGTGAAATTCTGTTAAAGAACCTACCAGAGGGAATAGAATTCTCTGTGGCCACACCTGAGGCTCTGGAGGTGGCTATCGGTGCGTTTTGGTTTTTTCCCTTTCACCACTTATTATTGCGCTTCCCCGTCTGACGTAGCTCGCGTATATAAGGTTGTTTCCCGAAGGATGCCATTTGATTTACATTGATCATAGTATATGCCTTCGCAGGCTGCGGTAAACCAGCCTCTAAATATTCTGAATTTATTTACAGGGGAATTTTGGGGCGATTCTTCTGTTGCAGCCGAGGTGTCTGAGGCATCGGCCTTTGGTCAAAGACCTGGTGATGGCTACAATACCTTGACGAATCGTGAAGAATCTGACTTGAAGAAGTTCTTTGACCGAACCACATCGGAAGATATATTTGATGCTGATTCATTAATGCGGAACCTGCAAAAATACTTGTTTGATGCAGAAGGTGTACGCTTGAGTGCGCTTTTGCCAAATTTTGCCATCTAACTTCTGGTTGAAGCATCATTATTTGTTTTTCAGAGCAATGTGCATTTTATTGTGGAATCAGAACAAAAGGTGGTGGCCTTAATCAGTGCACTTGACATGGCTTTGGAGGAGCTTGACTCTATGGAAGCCAAGTTAGATGCATATCACCAATATATTGCCGTGGGTTCGCTGCGGGATTCTTAATTTAGCATAATATACATTAATTTTCATTCCAACTTTTAATAGCTTAGCGTTAGATGCTTGTAGCCGCCTATTAAATATCCCAAATACGACTACTTTGAGTAGTCAAACTTTGCATTTTTTTCATTCATATTCATGGATGCAAAGCCAGTGACTTTTCATTCTCGCTTTCGAATATGGTCAGAATATAAGACCAGTTGTTCTGCTTAGTCACTTAAAAGTATACTTCTGCAGCAGTCAGTATCTAGGCCTTTACCATTTAATTTACGTAATGCTGTAATCCAGACTGTTTTGGAAGTTTATTTTACCAAAAAGATACATAGCATTCGTATAACTTTGGAGTGAGAGCTTATTCATATTTGTATAAGTATTGTTATTAGCTAAATCTGGGTTTTTGCACTTTGCCCGCAATGTGCATTCACGTACCTGTTTTCAGTCATCATACGTTGGCACCGATCCTTTGTAAAGGTTGAGCATTTAGACTGTGATTTTATCCCTATTGGACACACGAAGTTGAGATTGATACGTTATTTTTCTGCTTCTTTTTCAATGGAACCAAGGACGTGGAGGAGTCCATGTCAGGGCTGCAGGATCGCGATCAGCTGGCGCAAATTACTGGCGACAATCGGCGTCTGCTGTTAGATACTCTGGAACACATCGTCGCAAGCCTCTCGGTAAATGCGGGCGTTCTCAAGACTCTTGAGGAGGAGGCCGATATGATGGACATAGATCGCTACAAGGAAGCTGCCTCCTGCCTTGACGCTCTCTTCACCGCCGAAAGAATACCCGGTATGACCCCCTATCTTCCGCTTACCACAATTGTGCATCTAGCTGTGGTCAACTTATTCACACACGTCATATGAGTCTGCAGCGCTTCTTAGTCGAGGCTGCTGTTCCCGCCTCTCTTCCCAATTCTTCGTTAAACTTTCATGCTGTACATTTGATGCTGACCGATTCTTACGTCGAGCCGTGACTATTTGCGAACTATCAAGAAAGATCAGTGTGTTGTTAAGCTACAATTGTAGCTGACTGAAGACATTTTTGTTTAAAACGAATAAGCCGTGACAAGTAACTTAAACGCCGTTTTTAGTCACCCAGGCGAGCTTTTTATAATTTGTGTCGTCCTCAGGCTAGAAAGTAATATGTTCTTCCTCTGTTTGTGAACAACAAAGAGGTGTCATACTAAAGCCTCTCTTGGCACATTGTTCTGAATGGGTCTTGGGTAGGAATATTGCGATCGGGTTTCCCATATTGCAAGCAAAAGAATGAAGCTGATAGTGTTGCTCTCTAGTTACACGGCATCGATTCGCAGTTTCACCGCGCTCTGGTCTACTCTGGTTCCAGGTTGCGATGTGCTGTTACACGCGTCCCCTCACGCTTTGTAAGTGTAAGTACATAGGTCTCTTCTGAGCGGTTTTCATCTCTTTCTGCGAAGCGATGAAGGTTTATAAGTTTCACACCTCACAATGTATAATTTGTGCTTTTTGTCTTCATTGACAAGTCATTCCACAAATTGCCAATAGTCTTGAGTAGGAGGTGGCAGTTTGACTGCATTCAAGGAAGCGTTAGCACGAGAGAGGTTCATTCTTCGGCTGGGAGTCGTAGCGCCGTGTTATTTCGGAAAAGAACTCTTCGGCAGCGTTGAGGATATTGATAGAATGCATCTCCTACTGGAAGTGTTTGTTACCTTGATTGTCAGTAGTCTGGGATTGAATGCGTGGTTGCACGAGGCGAAGAGGTGTTTGATTCATTTCATTACCTCGTAGGTGAGGAGCACCTGCAGGCGGTGTCTGAAAAGTCACTGGAGTTGGTGGCGTTGCGAGACAAGTTTGCCAAGCGCCTCTCTCACCAAGTGAATGCGATGGTGGTGCGTTTCTGTAGCCAGCTGATGCGCATCGCTCCGGGGGCAGGCGGGGTAGGTGTAAGCGGCAGTCTGGCGGACCTCTCCGGAGGCGCCTCGCGCCACCACCGCCTCCACGTTCCAGGCTCCGGCAGCGTCCTAAATCTCTCCGGCTCACGTTCTAACCTTTCTACCTCCCCCACTGGTTCCAACAATGGTACCAGCCTCAATCACTGCCAAGAACTGCTCGGAGTTCAGCGCTCTGAGATCTTGCAGCTCTCTTCCCTCGTAGGTGGATGGCTACAAAGCAATCGAACTGATGTGTTTCGCACGCTTAAGAAGGTAAACTTTATATGAGTATCCTTTGTTATCCCTTGGGGCTCTGACTTATTCTACAACTGTGCTTAGTTTTAGCTCAGCTTGCTGATAACTCACTCCTAGTACATCATACCACTGTGATTACACCTTATTTGAAGGTTGCGTTGTAATACATCCCAAAATTTCATTTTTCACTTAAAATTGTAGCAATATATAGAAAAAATGCAGGCTTTCTTCCATCGTGTGTATCATGAAATTATCCAACAGGGGATACAGACGATTCTTTCTCTAACAAAATCGTCGAAACGTACGTTGGATGTTGTTTTGATTAAGCCGTATTAATTTTGCCCTATTAACAGAATCATTTTGCAATATGCAGATGAATCTGTGAAGCAGGACTCCGATAACTGCAGCGTCTTGGTCGTATCACAGAGCAATGCTTTGAACCAATTCAAACCAGTGCGTTCCAACCTGTTTACAATCTAGTCATCGTAGATTGAAACGCTGCTGTTGCTAATACGCTGTCTGAGCCTACTACATTTGCTTCATTATCATTCGAAGGACCCATTTATGGATCTGTTTACTTTTGTAACATTGTGTAATATTTTGAGTATTAGATCCACATCTATCCTTATTTAAAACTTTAGCTTTGAATTTCCAATTTTATGAGAAAGACAGTTCCCTCTGTTTTGTCTATGTTAGGTATTCGTAAAGCTTATGGATCAGCTATCCTCCGTAGTCGATGGCGAAAAAAATTTTATTATGGACTTCTTTTGTCTGGAAAAATGCAAGGTATTTTTTGTATTTTTTCCTTTTGGAAGCTGAGTGTAGAAATCCTTGTACGTTCCATTGCCTAAATATTAGTAGGTTATAATAAATTTCAGTTGGTCAGCATAATCGTCTCAAATAATTCATTACTTATGATGTTCTTTTTACTCGTAATTCCGAGTTTTTTGTGTTTCTCGCCTCAGATTAACCAATGCACGTCAATCGAAAGTTTCTATATACTGGTCGATTTGGTCACTACTTTAACATCCACTAGGAATTCATCATTTTTCGTTCCTTCTCCCTCTCTAACCTGGTTAATTTTTGAATTATCTTTCTCTGCTTAATTTATCCACTGCACATTTGTCGGCTTTGCTTGCGTCAAAACGCTTTCAGGACGAGCTCGATACATTCGCATGCATGCAGATGTTGTTCAGTGGTCTGAATGACGGGATGGCGGAGTTGATTCGCCTGTGTGAGGGACAAAATGCTGTATTTTCAATGTTCATACTTCTGGTGCTATCTCAAATGTCTGATAAGTTTGAAGAAAGGCCGCAGGAACAGCAGACACAACAGCGAAAGAGTTTAGCTGGCTCTTTTTGGGAACAGTTGATCAAACGCTGTATTTCTGACACCAGAGGTGTTCTCAGACGACATGTAGTAAGCTTGACTTGATATAAGTACAATAATCCAAGTGGAGGATGCCTACACAGTCACTCATCCACTACTTTCCCCTTCGTGGCCTCTAGAATTCCATGAACCAAATGTTCCGTGACAGCAAGCCGAGTAGAAAGGCGCGCTGTGGTCTGCTGAACACGATGCGAGTTTATGAGAACTTTGCTGAGTCTTCACTCCTTGTCTTCGGAGCGGGCTCCACGATAATGGAGCAAGCGCACAGTGATCTCATCTGCTGCCTCATGAACGAACTCGATCGTGTCGCCGCGGAGAGCGTAAAAACACCGCCAGAAGTCGTCTTGCTAGGTTAGCGGGTTGCATCTAGTGGATATTTTACTATCATGAAGTCAGATCTGAAGTATATGTGACCTTATGCGTACTAAAGACACTTTAAAGTGGATATGGCTTTTAGAGAACTACCATCGCTTGTATGACATCCTGTGTCGGTTGAAACTACCCTCCTTGAACGACACTCGAAAGGAAGCCAAGGCGAGATACCAACGCGCCCTGCAAGAGTACTCTATGAACTGCATGGGACGACCCTTGGAAGATCTCCATGTGAGCTAGTCTTCTTTCTGCCACAGTGATTAAAAACAAGTTACATTATAAAATTTATACGTATCCCCTTAAGTGGCCACTCTAAATGATTGATTTCTTGGAATGATTACCTTTTGAATTGCAGAATTTTTTTGAGCAAGTCCAAAGCGCTTTGGATTCGGGAGTCCGCCCCGATGCAATTTGCTACCAATTCGCTTTTCAAAAGCATATGCTCCAAAAGATCATCAAGGAATATCCTGGCAAAGAGGTGAGCTTTTTCATCACAAAAGTTCCATGCTTGATATCTCTATTTGTGCTGAAATAATGATCATTTTGCTCTTTCGTCCCGTAATCCTTGCAGGAATCTTCATTTCTCCGATAACTGTGTCACTTAAGTCCATTATATTTATATCTAACTGGTTAAAGGCGTTTTAGGTTAAGAAAGGACTCGACAGTCTGCGTAAGAGAGTGGAAAAGAATCTCTCAGAGGAGGCCAATCTTTTCCCTGTAGGTTCAGAATATCTTCTTCAAGTTTATGAATCAGCTATCCGATGTGGCGATTGGGTTAAAAGCTATCAGCTATTCCTGCATATCCTGTTGCCTTAGTATGACCTCTCAGATATTGAAATAATTAAATGTGAAGTGCGTATTTCGTGTAGTAAAACTTATGTCTCTCTTTCAGGTTGTTTGGCGGTCGATTCAATCAGAGGTCACAAAGCAGTGTATGTTCTATGAGGAATTGATCAAGAAATGCTACTCTGACTCCGGACTGGCTCTCGATTTCACAATTGATGATCTTCAAAAATATTTCAGTGAGATAGCTAGTGCTCCTAAGCGCCATGCAATCGGCTAGGTGGCTGTGATCTTTTAGACACTCACTCATCCATTTTTTATCTATTTTGGTGGCTTTTTTGATTTTGAATGCTTTTATTGAAGAGCTCTGCGTGTGGCTGAGGGTCGCTTTCAATCACTCGGGTCGGTTGGGGTGCTGTGATAGGTGACGGTTGACCCGGCTAAGGCGGCACAGGTGTGGTTCGAGGGTGGGCAGGTGTGCTGTTTTGTTAGTTGTGATTCGGGTTTGGGTGTGGTGGTCGCGCGAGGGTCGGTCGTAGGGGTCTCTTAAGTGGTGGTGTAGGTATGGGTCCCGTAGGAGGACTCGGCTTTGGGATAAACGATTTTTGGTGTTAAAAGTCTGTGGTGTTGTTTGACATCTTACAATTGTTTTACAGCGCAACAAACGTGAAAAAAATGTTTTAAACCAGGCTTATTTAATAGAGTTAAAAGGTAATTAAGGTTTAAAAGACTGAAAGATTAAAAATTTAGAATTTTTGAATGACCTAACTCAGATGAACTTGTTGTTTTCAAGGTTGTTGATCTTGTGCAGGAGGTTTTAGTTTGCGATGGGCTCTTTGGTAGAACGTTATGGTAGTCTTTTCAGTGAGATAAATTAAGGAAATTTGTGCACGACTGCTACCATTTACCTTTTGACCTTTATTTCTTAGCATTGCTAATTTAACTGCCGAAATACAGTAAACTTAATCAAAAGGAGAAGATTAGGCATTGACTAAGGAACGAGTTTCTCGGTTTACGATTGAAGGCACACAATATCAAAAATATGAACGTACACTTAATTTTAGCCGTTTTTTAACTTTTTAGGCACTGCTAAATTTGCGCAAAAAAAAGGACCTAAATTAATCACATCGTTGCGCACCAGTTAGTCATTCATATCACAAACAAGTGGGTGCCAGTCTTCAAAGGATCTAATGTGAAATATAGCAATATAGCTTACTGCCTTTTTTTGCATTATTTTTAGGCTTTAGGTAAAATTGACTTTTATTTGTGGCCTACCAATGCGTTTAGTTCAATTAGTTAAATCTCCGATAAAGCTGACGCAATTTTTATTCTCTTGGCCAGACCAAACACTGCGATAGCTTTGAATTTTTATTAAAGTGCGCAATAACTGGTAATGCAGGGCTTTTGTTGTTGTTGTTAGCTTGAGGGAATGAATGAAATAGATAGCTGATGTAGCAAAAAGGAAACGTAGAATATTGTTTCGTGGATCCGCTTTCACTTGTATTGAGCATTAAGCTATCCATAATAAGCATTTTTATTTATACTAACGGCCTTCTTTTTCTGTAGCTTACTACTTCTCATAGATTACAACATTGGACAATATTATTCGTCCTTGTTACAGTTGTTGGACTTAGTCATTCGTCTGGAGGTGATAACAGTTTAATCTTTAATCAGTGCCTGTACGTATGTCGCGTGACTCAATGCAACTCTACGGAAAGTGCAACCTACCTCTTGCTTAAAACAAAACCTTATGAGCCTCGAAATCTTAGTGTACTAGAAAAGATAATCACTTGGAACTGTGAAGATGAGTGTAAATATCATTGTATGTGGTGGACTGTTGATGAACATCGGCTTAAAGGAGTATCTCCTCAACAGTTTTATGGAAGAGTAAGTTGCCTTTTTGAGATCTTTCATAAAATTTTAAGTTTTAATGGATATTAATGGAACTAGAGATATAATGCGTTCTACTGCATCACATTGCTTAGTTGGCCTGCATGTACGTAGAAGTAACATAGATAATATATTTAGTGTACAAAAAATGATAGACATGGTTGTTATCAACAGCAGATCTAAAAGACAGTTCAAGTCAATTAAATTCAAAAGTAATTTTTCGTGAAGACATGAAGGCATGCATTCCAAATATGGGTGAGAGCATGATGCTTTGGAATGTATAAATCAGCTTAAGTTTAGGTCCACTTTTAAAGAATCACGTAAGACATTAATTTTGAACGTCGTATTGCTTGTATTGATGGGCTTAGAAATGGGAATTCGCATGACATGATATGTGTGTGCTTTTGATTCTAATTGAGGTTTCGCTATGCATTATTACAAATGATGCGGATAACATGTTGATTTCTCGAACTGACAAAGTCTCAAATTATTATTTTTCTCTTGCTGGATTGGAAACACTCGATTAGGTTACACGGAATCAATAATTTTTTTGTTATTTAAGGAGTTTTTATTCATAGCATTTTATTTATTGGCAAGGGTACCTCCATACTCTCTTAAAACTAGACAATCTTTGTATAAGCCTCCCTCTAAAAAGCCAGTAAATAAGCCATACGCAAGTAATTTTTTTGCAAAGTACCAAAGCGATGAAATAAAGCGACAACAAAACTCAAGGTTGATATCAGAATAATACTGCGGGTGTGTTTTGAAAAAAGGTCACATACACCTGCAGATATTTATTTTTCTGGCGGTTCACTAAATTTGATCTTAGATTTTTGTACACCACAATCTTTGCTCTATTCTGCTCACTTTTCTACTCCATCAATTCCAAATGCACGTCAATGTGTGACACGGACGTAAAGAATGATTTAGTTAAGTGATCTTAAAATACATCGGAGGTATCTTTTGCGGAAGGGTGATACTGTGAGAAGTACGTGAATGCTAATTATTACTTGCCCCTTAGATATTAATACCCTAGCTATGAGCGCTACCTCTCAGTTGTAACAAATAACTTTGTTGTTAAGTTGAGGTGCTCTTAATGACAATTTACTGCTTTAGTGGCCCCAAATTCGCCTGTTTGGTGCCCAGGAGCCGGCGGCAGCCTTCTTCTCCTTCCTCAACCTTGTCACCCAACTAGTGACAATGCGGCGTTTCCTTCTTTGTGTGCCCCCTCAAGCTCCACTCTATGCCTTCTGGGTGCTTTTTGCCTCTGTACGTCTCCCTGTGTTTTGGTACTTGTCAATTTTATGCAGCTAACTTGAGAGGTGGACTTTGTTTAGTTTTGGCCAGTGGCCCTACAAATTGGGGTAAACATATGACGACATCAAGTGGTAGGATAAACGCGGCATAGCTGAGTCGAACAGGCCCTAGCTAGCCTACTTGTATCATCTAATTTTCAATTTCGAAATAAATTGTGAAATTCCAAGTAGAGGAATTAAAGCGCATTTATATTGGATGAGCTTAGCTGCTTATAAACGGAGTTCAACTATATTGTGTCGGCGAAAATATATGCGGAATGCCAAAGTGCAGAATTTTTCAGTTAATGCAGGGTGATATGTTTCTTGTGGTCAAAATGCGTGAAACTTCAGGTTGAAATTCACGGAAATATTAACATATATGATAATCTTTAATCTATTCTATTCGCAATGATAAAGTTGTACAACGAAGAGTTTTAAGAAGGCTATTTCAAAAAAGTGAGCTAATAAGGTCATTTAGATCGGGGTTTTATGAATCACGCAACATACCAACGGATCCCTTGTTTGCCCCTAGGCTGGTGCTAATGCCTGGCTTTGGTCAACCGTTTTTCATATCTGTGACACGGATTTCACTGAGGTCTGTTTCCGTTATCCTTGCCCTACCGCGTATGTTTAAAACACAAGATCTAAAATTTAGTGGTAAGATCTCTAATTTCTTCTCCGATCATAGCTAGGATGGAAATAATTCCGCCATTGTATAATCTGAATATCGCTGAGTATTTAAAGCAACTTCAGTACCTTAGGTGCTGGTCTTTCGATAATTTCTAGTCATTCTTTTATTCCATTATTTTAGAAATTAGACTACTGTTCCGCATTCGTTTATGTGGGATCTTTTTTTATCATTACACTTGCTCGGATAACGCGAGGGCAACTTCGGTGGGCTCGAAATGCAATGCTATGCATCGCCTTTCATCTCGTTTTCTCATATTTATTTGACCTAATCACTTCGCCCAGGATCAAATACGATTTCAACATGAAGGTTAATCTAACACTAGGTGAGTGACTCGACACTGGAATCGTGCACATATTTCCACCAGTTGGGTCATTAGGCTAGATCCGAAGGAGGTCAGATTAGGAATCACGACGGCGTGGAGGGGATCTGATCTTGTCCCACTTGTGGTTGTAATAGGTCTGCTGACGTTGGTAGGATGGCTTGTGGGAATTCCCAAAGCTCGGGATGGGGAAGAGCAGACGTCTTATCGAGTTATGCAAGCCACGGTTTTCTACATTGCCACTGTGGCTACGCTTGAATTCATCGACTTTCCTGCCATCCTGTGGCTGTTTGATGCTCACTCTCTGTGGCACGCTGCTACTATTCTCATTCCCTTCCCTATATTTTCGTAAGTTTCACATGTAATTGCCATCTGTGATTGATACGTAAGGAGAGCCAGACATGGATATAATGCCCATCTAAAGCAGTATTTACATAAGTTGGTATTGTTGAGATGAGAACGATACTTGAACTTTCGCTCTCACGTCAAAAAAGGCACAGACAACAACTTGCTCTTTTACGATTATTTTTATGGAGATTGTGCATTTCATTTTCATGGGTCAATTAATTTTAAGCAGCCTTTAATCCGAGATATTGTTTTTGCCCACAATATGTGCTATTTCAGGTACGCCATCAAGGATTGCCGCAACCTTTATCGCATTGAGCTGAAAGTCAGAACATGAATTTTGGTCAACGCTTAGACCTGATCCGCCAACTTCTCAGTTTTATCATGCCTTTGCTAACTTTTTAAAGCATTATATCAGTACACTGAATGATCCCAAAAGCGTGGGCGAATTCATGGCAACGTATTAATTGGGCAATGAGTGGTGCTTATGCACTCACGATACTTATTGTACACTTACACCTTTCGTTTTTTTCAATGTTATTAATTTACAGTTTTTTCAAATAAATGGACCTACGTGTGAGCTGGATTAGAAGCCTTATTCCCCTCCCCCCACTGACTTCTGTGGTTGAAGTAGGTAATCTCGCTGAATTACTGCTGCTCACTCAAAACCCTCCAGATGCCATTTGTCGTCGAAGCTAGAGAAAGTTGTGGACACAATGTCCTGTATTTGGTGGCGCGACCTTATGAGCCTTCAAGCTATTAGTTTAAAACTAGTGCCCGTGGAGCAGAATCCTGCGCCGTAATTATGCGTTTGCGTTATACTTGTGTTTTAGAGTCTCACAATACAATCATAATCTAACTAATGCGTTGCATATCCATGATATTAGCAGTAGTTATGATACATTAGGACATGGAGAAATATACCATAAATTGATGCGAGATTCACTCATAAATACTTCCAGAATCAAAGAAAAACTAGCACAGAGAAACCAAAATATATAATAGGGCTTGTGGAACAAGCACCATACTGGTTTAGGACGATTATTATAGTGTGGCACTTTAATTTATTTAATTCTCGGATTCAGTAATAGGCCATTATGGGCTTATCCATTGCACTTCCACTGAACTGCCTGGCATACGAACGATGTCAATGGCCCCCAAACTCTTCCATGCGTCAACAATGTATATTCTACCGAGCTATTATGTCTACCATCGGCTTAAGGGAAAACTAGGACTGCTACCACCGGTCTCACGAGCCTCCGATAATGTATTTAGTGTTACACATAAAAAACATTTAAGAAATTATCTTAAAAAAGCGATTTTAAGAAATGAGATTCCGGTGTGCGTAACAAGAAATGACTACTACAATACGATTGTGGTTCATCCCTCGGTTCTGGTGAGGCGCCACTTTTGTACTTTGAATCAGCCCCCTTGTACCTCGCTGGGTGGGCTGGCCTTTTGGGCCATACCAATAGCCTAGACACCTTCTCCATACTGAATATATATTCTGCCCGAGTATTTTGTCTTCTTTCGTCTTTAGTGAGTCTTGGGACGCTACATTGGTGGCAGCGGAAAGCGAACCCCATCTTAAGAGACATGTATCCCATTTTTCCACTTCCGCGTGATAAGCCTTAGTTGAGCGGGAGAAGTACATATGCTACGGATGGGAAAATGGTGATGACCCCTAATAGGAGGACTAATGTTGATGTCTACCTTCTGCATCTCTCTCAGTCCCGTGTTCTGCAAAAAAGCTATTAACAACTGAATCGACATTGGCCGTGAACCATCTGGAAGTTTCGTTACGGATTCCCCCTACCATCCTAAATCAAATCCCTAAACCAGACGAAATTCTAGTTCCAGTGAAGCCGCCAAGAGGGATCAGCGACGTTGAGGTCAAGTATCCCCTCAGTTGCGCGCTAATTTGGCGACTGCCACGGTCGGCTCGTGGGTGTTTCTTTACTACACCGACTACGTTGTAATGGCTGACGCGGGAGGTTGACCTGCTGGAGCGCCGGGAACGACGCTCAAAAGAGGAGGGAGGCTATGTAATACGATAGTGGGTTACCCTCGGTTCTGGTGAGGCGCCACTTTTGTACTTTGAATTAGCCCCCTTGTACCTCGCTGGGTGGGCTGGCCTCTTGGGCCATGCCAATGGCCCAGATACCTTCTCTGCGCTGAATATATACTCTGTTCGAGTATTTTGTCTTCTTTCGTCTTTAGGGAGTCCCGAGACGCTACGCTAAGGTTGTCCAATTTGTGGTTAATGCGGAGTCAGGTTTGCAATGCACTTGAAAACGTTAATACCTCAGCATACCTTGCAGAAAATTAAGACAATTGTAGCATGGTGCATTATTTTTGACACGATTTAAAGAATTTGGAGATTGATGTCAATTAGAAATGATCAAGAATTTCTGGCATTTATTACATTATCACCCAAACATCTTACCTGAAAAAATACACTTTCAAACAATTTTAAAAGTGTTTCTGATATGCCATCTTAACAATTACCTCATTTTGGCTTCAAAAAGTGAAGATGTGAATAATTTTCTTATTCTGAACATTTGAGCAATTTCCTATTGGTTGATTAGGATCGTATCTTACTGGTCGTCTTAGAGTACGTGCACTTTGCCCTGAAAATGTTGGGTCTGCCGCTGTTCTGGGGTTCTCTGGGTGCGCTTAGAATTCAAGGTTGTAATGTCTTGCTGAGCTGCCGTTATCTGTGTAGTAGGGCGATTTACGATGGCGGTCGCAAAATTTACCGCGAGCAGCGTCTCCTCGGGTAATAGGATTGATGAAGATAAGGGCTTGTCCACTAGATATTAGTTTGTGAGCATTTGGTGTCCGCTATTCCTCATTCCTGTTATTTAGGTACTTTGTAAGCCTCTTTTGTACTTGCGTGAAACGATTTAAGTGTAAATGACTGTCTTCTTCACGCTAATGCGTTACTTCTTTGCGCAAAGTAATAATTGCTATGTCGCTACTTTTAATTTTTCTGACACGATCTGTGTTGGTATTTTTAGTGATTATTTTAGAAATTTCATATTTGTAAGACTTTATGTCACCTCCTATCCCGTTTTTCCCCCAACTTATAGGTACAGCTGTGATCAGATTTTTGATATAATATCCGGTGTCGAACAATACTCCGAATTTCTACCATGGTGTCTTGATTCGGTTATTTTGCAGACCCATCCCACAAAAGGTAAACTTTGCCGATTGAGTATTGGATTCTACCCCTTCAAAGAAAGTTACAATTCGTGGGTAACGGTAATTCGACCAAAATATGTTAAGGTAACGCCCCTTCACCGTGGCATCTTAGTGAATTCACTTTTCCTTATTCTAATTTATGCGCTTGAGTAAGCGACTGTGACATCTAGTAACTGCTCAAAACAATTATTCTCTTGTTTATCAGATAATTTGCAAGATTAGTGCTTCACATAAACCCGAGCTTTTACATTGTTTTTCCGCTATTTATTTGTTCATACCACAATAGTGGCTAGAAATCCTAAGTGACATGAACATAACGCAGGTTACTTTCCTTGATCACATTGTATCTTGACATATCCAGTCTTTGGCTAGTATTTAAAGTAGTGCCGACCTCGTTCTCAGGCGAAATACGAGAAGCTCACGATTGTCTTATTGACGGTTGCAGAGACCTTGCCACAATCTCAGACGAACTGGCACATGCGCACACTTCACCAAATATTTGTTCGACAGCATGCGCTCGATGATATCACCACTGAGATTCATTTCGTTATTTCACTGCAACGTAGCCAGTAAAACTGTTGAACTCTGATCACTCGTATATTTGGACTGCCCAATTTAAACTGAGTGTGCCCACCTATTGCCCGGAGTCATTGTAGCCGAACCCGAGCTAACATGGATAATTAATAGTCATCAAGAACTGGTTGACCTAGAATATCGCTTCAAATTTAGTAAAGAACTTTGTTGCATTTGTTTCCTCAACACTATCCACAACTAAAAAATGCCTACTCACACATCGACAGAAGAGGAGGAACGTAGGGCCACACTTCCTGCCCCGTACTCACCGCATTCTCTTTACAGTCAGTGGCCACCAATAGCTACCTTTTCGAGCACCTGATTAATGAGTGGCACATCCGACCCGGCTTGCCCGACAACGAGAACACATGCACGGTCGAATTAAAGGTGAGAACTGCACCAATGCCTCAAACACCTCACACACGAATTGGGTTCGATTTAAGCAGCTTTGACTCCTCCCCACCTAGGTCGATTTCAGGTTTCGTTCCAAGCTCCACTCCCGAATATCCAGCCTCTTCTTTGATCAGGTGGTCGACTTCATGGTGGGTGCCTTCTTGGGTAGAGCCAATACCCTTCACGGCCCCGGCTCCATACCCCGGCAACCACCTACAATTCTGGAGTACACCAAATAATGCCCCCTCCACAAAATCCCCACTTACTTCCCGATTGATGAAATGCCGCCATCGATGTTCCCAGGCATTCGGAAGATCTATTATTACCTTCAAGCCACCTTTCTCTCCATAATACAGTATCTGAATATGAGCAAGTGTATTTACGAGGGGTATCAAATACCCATATCTAAATTGTATTCGGCATACAAATCCTTGACGGTTGTCATTTTGAGATGGGCAAGTTGGCCAAGGATGTAGAGGCAAGCGTCTTTGGCGTCGTTGTACTCGTGTAGAAGCTCACGCCACATCTTCAGTTCGTTCTCTACGTCCTCCACGGTGAAGACCTCGAGGCCTCGCATCTCGCATATTCTCCTCTGCAGCGCTTCGATGGCCTCATCCAACTCGTGCTCCTTTTCCTCTTCATTCGCAGCCGTCTTGAAGCTTGGGCCTTTGCGCTCCGGTGAAATCATCTCACTGCACCGCAGGAAGTGACTCCGCTCCCCCTGGAAGCGTGGATGATGCACTCACACTCACCGAGGAATGCTTAACTCAGTACCATGGTGGTTTATCATTAAAGGAACGCAGATGCATATCTCTGGCATTTATTAAAGCTGCATGAATTGACTGTCATAATGCTTCCAACCGCCATTCTGTATTGTTTTCACCTCTTGAACAAAATTGTTACGCACTTGATCAAAGCTCCGCCGTTTCGATAAGCGAAAAACAATACTACTTTTGATGAAATGCTATTCATTCAAAGCGCAAAGCAGGGAGAAAGTTATCCACACCCCAATACGTCCGATGCGATTTTTTCAACCATACGAACAAAAACACAACTCTACATTGGGTGGGTGGGCGTATCACAATTTTAATGGACATTTGAACTTAGATCGTTGCTTTCGAATTTACCCAATCGGGATGGACGGAACGAGCTTGAGTCAATTCAGCCGATGGCTTAAGCTCGAGTGTTAGCAGTTATCATCCAAACGTCAATGACCGTAGGGGAAAAATAAGCTACCTTCAAGAGAGTGGAGTGTTCGGGCTGTTTAGATTCTCCTAGCGATGGTGGCATAGTGGAGCGGCCCTGGTTTTCATTTCGCGACCGTAGTGGTGACTTGAATGGCGCGTTCACCGCTGGCTTTGAACGGGGCTTCTCCACGAGTACAGGAAGAATTAAGAAAAATGAATGGATATCAAAACTTGTTGCAATGCAAGAGGCTTAAGGAGTAGTGAGTACACTTTATTCACTTAGTTAAAATCATATAAAATAAGAAAATGTACAAATTTGAAGGTAGAATACAACTCATTTGCCATCCTTTCGAAGAGCAGAACATCGTGGACAAAACCACTGCCCTCGAGGCTTAGTCGTTAGACCGACACAGCCGAAATGGAACCATTCAATGGGACAGTCCCGATTGTCGCAGGCAACCATTTCACCGTAGGACACCTGTTGGCAAATGCAGTAGGTAGGTTCATTTGGATCGATTGGCATGTCGAGTACGTCACTGGGGTTATTCGTCAAGGCTAGAGCAAGAGCTGCAGACGCAGGCATTCTATAGGCCAAAAGTATGCTTAAGGAACCATCAAGCAACGCGCATAGGAGAGAGAAACCCACTAACCTCGAAGGAACGCTAAAGGGGGTTTTCTTCCGGGGCTTTTTCATTTCTTTTAGGACCGAAGCCTTTTTAAATTCGACCATATCAGCGTCAAGACGCTGAATCTGCCTATCCACAAGCTCATATATACTTTCAGCCCTAGAAACTTTATCGTTGCATATTTCTTCGGCTGTCTGAAACAGGTTTTGTATTTCATTGAGGCGCCTGACACGTTCGTCTCTGGGTAAATCTTTCGCAATAAGCAAAAGCTCATTTGTTTTCGTCTGCGCTTCGTTCATGATTTCTTGAACTTTTTGATCAAGGTCCCGTATGATTTTGAACTCCTGCTGAAGATAAGGCGGCGCCTGCTCAAGTTCTAAAACAAAGCAAGCTGCGCATGTTAAGCCGGGAACACTTTCCATTTAATTTACTGAACCAATCTTGATCTAATTCGCAGTTTGAAACTAAGGAAACACGAATTCCGCACGCAACGAAAAAGGGAGCAAAAACACCCACGATATGGTGCGAACTTTGGCACCTTTTCAAAAAGGGAACGAACGATCCGCAAATCCAAATACGTGTGTACGGGAGGTACCAGACCAAACACATAAAAACAGCAAGAAGTTTATAACATTAAGGTAGTCAAACGCAAGTTGATGCACCGTTGAGTGGGAATACAAGACAGTCTAGAAGATACTGCTACCACAGGCTAGTGAATGTAAAACATATGAAGCCCCACCTATTTCCTGCGGTATGGTGAGCGCTAAAGACACCCAGCAACCACCAACAACTATTTACCATCCAGGAACTTTTGGAAATACTCCATACGAAGCCAAAGGCATGGAGCAAAGCACAATGGGCATGAACTAGGCAATCCAGTTAAACAAACAGCGGGACACGTAGGTATTAAGGAGATTAGTAAGGCATTATAAAGCCTGCTAACATTTTTAAAAAGTTTACTTTAATAACACTTTATAAACTGTCTTTTTTAAATCGCATACCTGCTGAAATGACGTTAAGGTAATCAAATCAAAATCGTCTACAAGTTCTTTGGTGCACGGCATAGGATTATTATTTAGTTGCGCAGAATTTGAAGTAATTTAAGTGCAGTGATCTTTTATCCCTATTTCATTAATCAGCCTATGATTTTATTTGTTCCACTCTTATCATAGACGGTCTTCCCTTTATTATCTGTAAATTGTAATGAATTTCATTGTTACAAATGCTCCCAATTGCGTAAAGATGGCCCTTTGAACCCAGCATACTTAAAATTTTGGTTAATTTTAAGGCTTTTGTCCTGCTGGAACCAATTCCCCAAGTCCTAAAAAACATCATCATTGAGCACGGACCAGATGTCGAGAATGCTTTGTAAAAATGTCTACTCATTTGACCCAAGTGCTAATCTCATTCACACTGCATCATACAAAAACGGTGAACTACACACATGAGGGCGATGGATAACCCACTTTGGGAACGCATACATCTCCACCATTGCTTGAGTAACTCTTCTCACGTTTATATCTACTGCTAACCACATTGGACTGGTGCAAGAAAGGAAGACTGACCGCGTGGAGTGCAACTATTTCCGATCACATCCCACTGGCACATCAAAACATGCCAGAAATCCGTCACGGCTTTGAATGCACTCTTCAGTACCCATGCACATCAAAATTTATTGCAAAATAAGTAGAAGAGTTTGCTCGCGAATCAGGAGGCTGTTTACGGAAGGACCACCTAGATATCATCGCAGGAACACAGAATCCCAATGGAAAATGGGGAAGCGTCGCGTTTTAAAACACGTTTCCAGGAAAGACTTTGAGACAAACTGAAGGGGAATTGAATAAATAATAATAAGAGACAGCGTTTAGCATTCGTTAGAATTCTTTACAAAGGTGCGTTGGAGTGGAGATAAAATTAAAAAAGCACAAGAGCCCAGCATTAGTGCTGCGACGCTGCGATTACGGCTGGCATTGTATTCTGTAGATCGAGTCTTGAACATGCAGTGGCAGACACAACCTCCAGCCTTGGTTCACCCTCTACCACCACAACCTCTTCCTCCAGAGGGGTTAGAGAACTGGTAGTGGCGGGGGTTATCTCAGAGAAGGATCGTCCTTTCGGAATTGTCTTCGACACTTCGTCGCCCTCCTCACTGGCCTGACGCTTGACAATCCAACTATCGTCGGGTCTGAGTCGGAGAGAAAGGGTTCGCACCGGTCTATGAGGCTGTTCCTCATCTGGTGCCATGGTAAACAGAGAGAGAGTGAGTCGTCCAGGGGGTGAGGTTCGCAAAAACTCCGTCGGCGGGTGCACCGCTGACACAGAGGACGATAGAGGAAGCTCTGGAGGCTCCGAAAAGCCGCTGTTCGATGGGACGATGGTGATAGTAACGGAGGGTACCTTTGGTAGCGAATCCTTTGTCAAATCACCATTGGCTAATCAGCAAAAATAAATATGTAAATACCCTGTTGATCAAATTGGACCCTTTAAGCCGGCTTTTTGCTTCCTCTACAGATACATGAAGTCCCATTTAATTGACCTAATCATAAGAGTGTTTTTAAAAAACCGGCAACACAATGAAGCGTGGCTAAGCGCACCTTGAGCGTATCAGCTGACTGCTTCCAGTAAAGACGACATACAAGCAAAAGACTCAGATTTAACTTACAGATTTGTGGGCTGGAGAAAGAAGGGGTTAATAGAATGTCATGCTCGCTGACGGAAGATGTGGCGGCCTCAGAAGATGGAGAGGAGAGAGAGGACACCGAGACACCGCCCATGTTTTCCGCAACACCGCCATCGCCGGCTTCACCATCAGGCGGGGGGACAGGAATGCTGGGAACGGTAATAGTGGGGTTCAGCGGCGACCTTGGGGGGGAGGTAAGAGGAACGGTAAGGTAAGGTGCCGTGGTGGTAGGCGGTTGGCGCCGCTGGAAGAGGCGGGTGGGTGAGGACTTGGAGCGGGAGATCACGACCCCCCCGCTGCCCACGTCCTCGTATACATCGGGGTGCCAATGCCGGATGCGCTGAGAGGTCGTGACCAACACTCGGCGTCGTATACCGCTTGGGCTGCCTTCCAACTCGGAAGGTTTTTCTTGTGAAGATTAAAACACTTATCCGTTGATTTTACAAATCTTTTTCTGGTTGTAACAAGCCTGCAAACTTCTTTCAATGAAGATTAAGCTTTAAACATTGCGGTACACATAAAAGCCGATTTCAATATCATTAATCGCTACAAATGTCAGAAATAAGTGACATATTTCGGATCAACTTACGGTAAGTGATCGTACCAAATAATGTCAAAAACACATCTGTTGAGTTTAAAACAATAAATTGGCCATAGCATGTTCTTGGTCCAAGGTTAATTGCATTGTTTTGCCAATTTGAGAACAATAAAATATCTAGGGTACGGCGGTGGCCAGTGCATATCATTACCCAACTTGTCAAAGTGCCTCGAAGTAAAAAGGGATAGTAATAAGATTGTTAGCACATTAGACTCGCTATGCACATAGTAGACGCACTCTTAGTGCTAGGTCTACAATTTGACTACAACAGGTGGATTGAAAGATGATCGAGTAGATCAATCATACTTTTGCTTCGTCGCCAATATACGAAAAAATCCAAAAATAGACCAGCTAAAGAGCTTAAAACGGCAAAGTGAAATGACTCGAGGCAAAGAAAACTCACGAGGGACATTGATCAGCTCCTCCTGAATTCGAGAAAACTGAGGGAAAGATTTGAAGGCAAAGAGCTCGGCCTCCAAATCAACCGGACCGGATGGTCCAGGAGGTGGTTCGAAGGTATCATATTCCTCTTCTCCCTCCCTTACTAATGTTGTCGTCACTCCCGGACTCTCCACACGTGGCCGAACCGCTCCCGTCGCCTCGGTCGGCTTGTCCTTTTGTTGAAAGAGAGCACTGTGACGGTGGGCACTGAAACCATGAAATAGTCCGAGGAATTGCCTGATAAACTCGGTCCAATTATTCTTGTGCATACACAAATACAGTCTACGGAAAACCAGTTGTTGATTACGGATCTGCACGTAATTGTTAGCTTTTCTGTTTGTTGGGAGCAAGGGAGTAATTCCACCGTAGTTTAATTATAGGAAAAAATATTTAGTCATGGACCTACTGCGGTGGAGATATACTGCGAGCAAGGGAAAAGGAGTGTGAAAAGTGGGAGGTGATTAAATGATGTGATGAACAAACGTGCTAAAGTCAACTGTCAATGTTGCGATGGTGATGGCGACGAAAAGTAACCACGGTACACATGAGAGTGTTACTTAAAAAGTGCAGTTCAACGTGACTTCGTGTTTGCTTTGCATATTTTACAGCTGACCGACCACTTCTGTCCCAATTTAGAGGGAATAAAGTGGGTTTCCGAAATCATGGACACAAACAAACTCATGGCAGGTTTCCACGTTCTCCACACGCTTTCTGTAACATTGGCAAATTAAAAACGCGAACGATACCATGTTTTGCAAGCAATTTTTTTTTGCTGACGCATTGATGTGCTATCCAAATGGTCATACATTACGCTCGAAAAAGCGACCAGCTTGTCACAAATTCCTGATTTAAAGAATTTGCACTAAAAGCCGCAAAATACCACACAAAAAGATTGACCAAGCAAAGAAGATCTGAAAGGAACAATTAGGAGCACTACTATCCGACTGGAGTAAGAGTGGAAACGTGTAGAACACCACTGTCAAGCTGTATGTCAGCACAAATGGCATACGTGAATCATCGAAGCATTAAGACCACATTTAATCAAGTACATGGTTTGTTTCCAATAAATGAGGTCATAAGGACGAGTAAAAATATAGATCAAGAAATAATTAGTTTGCTGCTATAAAAAACAGCTTACTGCGGCCTGACACCAAAAAAACAAAGAACACGAAAAGCAGGTACTAGGAATTCGACCTCGTAATGTATGGTGAATCAGTGAAGTCTTCAGTTCAATGTTTCCCCAAAAAATAGAAATCACGGCAGGATATACACACGAACGTTGATATGAGGGGAGAGGAAGCAAAAGCAAAGGGTCATGTTTGAGGTAAAACAGATGGCAGAGTGGACGCACCTGGCTTCCAAGATGCCTTGGTAAGTTTCCAACTGTCGTAGAAAATTTGCGTTTGGATTCACGCAAGGGCGTTTGCTTTTAACAAACTCCAATGCGTCGTTCAACTTCCAGCCCTTCTCCTTCATCGCATAGGCCACAACCTAGACGAGAAAGGGATCTCATTCAACTCAAATCCACTGTCTTTACGCACTGTGTCAAGGACAACAGTGCTCGGGCCTATTCATGTGATGTATGTGCTATCTAGAGCCCTAATGCGCAAATATGTATAGTGGTGTGCCTGTCCATCCTAAGAGTAAATTCTCAAAGACCATGTGATTGAGATAAAAATACCATGATGTGAATACATTCGCATTGGTCGCTTCTGCCTGCTTAATATACGGCCATTTTAGCAACACATCAATAGGTTAGCTCAAAATGCGACTGTAAAACATGCTGTTCACGTTTTTACTTCTCATCTACGAAAATCGAGTTGAGAATGTAGAAACTTTGAAGTAAATCGTCTGGAGACCCACTTTGTTCCCTCTAATGCATTCGTGTTGAATGACATTACAGAGTGCATACATAGCACTAAATCGTGACTAAAATTGCTATATTCTGCCGAAGAATTCAAATGAAACATAGCTGACATCGTCTAATATGGAAATTAAAGATGAGTTGCAGGGTATACTTTATCGATAAAAAGGGAGTTTTTAGATGGATACTGAAACTCGGCGCAATTTGTGGAAGGACTCTTTACAATTCTGAGTTCTAAACGGTCGTTATTGAACTATAGACGCCAGTTGATACATGATTGTGGTAGCTTACCGTTGAACCAGACCGACTAATACCCATTTTGCAGTGAACAAGGCAACGTGTTCCATTCGCCCTAAAAGAACAGAATTTATAATACATACGAAACTAGTATTCTACCGCACAAATCAAATAAACATTTTCAAACGGTTCAATACTCTACCTAAGGCAGAATACTAACTTGCCTTCGTTACACAACCAGAAGACCCAATTAAGAGGGATAATTAGGAGTCCAAGTGATGGGAAGCTACGATGAATTCCCAGAGCGCGTTAGTAAACACACCTTTCCAGTGGGAAAGTCACACCGATGACGGTGTTTACCCAGTGTAGGTGTGTAAAGGAATTTAGGCAGACAAACTGCTGATTTCGGAAATCACTTTGAATAAAAACACAGCGCAAGCTTTTGCCAATTGCAGCCTCGAAGGAAGGCACAATCGCTGATGCTTACTAAAATATCATATTTTCTGGTAAAAAACAAGAGATGCTGAGTTGATCTTGACAATGGAAATTGGGATGGCAGATAAGACGAACAAAAAGGGCGGGGAGGAAAAATTACGCCATGCAGGGGGATTTAAAAAGTGCAAAATGTAAAAATAGATTTAAAAATATCATAAATCGAAATGCTCAACACAAGCACCCGAATATGGGCCCATTAAATAAACTTGTTATGCAGAACTTAATTTGTTGGGAACAAATTAATGGACGTGTTTAAGCAGGACATTATAAGTATGCCACAAATCTCGGTATAAACAACTTACAAAGCTGAAACATTATAGGCAGGATAGAGAAATAAACATACAAAATGTCAGTCATTTTATTATGGATTGAAATTCTGGAGACAGCGCCGAAAACACATGGAAAAACTAGTAGTGGGAAAGCTTCTAATTTGAGCTAAGCCATTTAAGAAAAATTATTACAAGTCAGCACGATTAGGTAAGGACGCTACCCGCCGTTGTGACCTTGTGCACACCTGACAGTGAAAAAAGGCATATTAACAGCCTATCTTAGTGCGAAATATAAAAGTTAACAAAGAGCAACTAAATACGGAAAAGTCGACGTCTATAAACCCATGCTTTCAAGAACATTGGTAGCTAAATTTCGAGAAAGACCCTATCAAATGTGCATACGCAGAAGACTCGTTTATGTCAAAAGACGCAATCGACGATGACACTTAAGTTGAGACAGAGTCCAAATGAAGAAAATCCTTCGAACTTTCACAAAAAACCGACAAATTATTCAAACATATTAGAATGAGCCTTGAAGAGAATCAATGTAGTAAAGTAGCATTATATCCAAAGTATATATCGACAATGCATGAAGTAAAAAAATTATTAAATGCATGGAAAACTAAATAAATGAATGTTAAGATGTATTCTTATAACAGTTTTTTCTTCATTTCTCACCAACAGCACAGTTGATTAGATAAAACCACATATCCCAGGTGGGATGATATTGTCAGACAAAACAGGCATCACTAACACTTTTGGAAAACAGCTCAATGAACAAGAGCCGAGACCAAGGTCAGGCTAATAAAACAAATTGTCTTCAATTCATAAGAAGTAAGCAATAGGACTTGCATACACACGAGGCATAATGTAATGCCCAATTAATTAAACAAACTTGCAAGAAAAACAAGAATCGAAAATAGGTGCTCAACGCAGGGGAACACCGACAAAGAAGTAATGTAATGTGTAGCATTCAATAAGACACAGGTTCTCACGAACTTTTACCGACGCTACCACCACCTAAATTTAAAGAGCCTCGCACGAAGACCCACGTTCTTGGATGCACACTTTTAGGCGCATCTGAAGTCGCGCACGGCAGGTGTGAACTGGGTGAGTTCAAAGTACGCGCAGACAATGTGCGCAATGAATCGGTCACGAAGATGGAAAGAGGATCAGCACTGCGACGCAGCGCTGATCGCGTCAGTGCTTGAACACATCACTTTTGCAGCGTTCAGATCGCGAATGCAATGGGGGTACTGAAGGCTCGCACTCCCTCGACTAACACAGAAATTACCCGTATGCTAAGCATTACAAGGCATGCCAAGGTATAGAACTTATGAGATCTCATTTCGATCGAATAGACTCGAGTAGACAAATTGATTTGGCCGAACCAAGGGTAAACGCCAATCAGATTTATGCGACACTGGAGATCCTCGTCTGTGATTTGTGTTAGATGACTTTTAATTTTCCTCCACCGAAAAATCAAATACGAATAAGGAGAGGTTAGGAAAACAGTGCGACAAGGAATATAGAATTGCAAACATCTGTAAAAGGTGAGCTGGGTGCTCCTTGATGTAAACTGCAATTGAAATACATGTCATCAATGAGCCGAAATTTGAAGCGCATTGAGCTTTCTGCAAGAAAAGAATGCCCTACGTTGGGTGCTAAATACAATACAAATTAAATAAATTTACGTACCTTTACTCACACTGATGAACACACGATGTGTGATTAATGCGTGGGGTTTTTTTATGAAAAAAAGGAATTACATAAATTTTGAAAAAGCAGTAATTTATTTCCCTGCTTTACACTCGCATACCAACCATCCAAATCAACCACCCAATTTAATAAGAGTAGGAAAAGTTTTCTCAGTGGAAATATAAGGAAAAATGCATTTTTGGAATTCCCAGAAAACGATAACATCGAAAGACACGTAGAAGAGCAGAAGAACATCTGACTATGTTATTAAATACCACCATCTTGAAGTATTTTAGATACATTCCAAACACTTGAGATCTATCAATACCTAAACCCGGAATGTGTTTATTATGATAAAGCTGACAAACTCACCTCAATTCTTGAGTCCTCTTAATCAGTGGATACTAAAAACTTTGTTGAGAAGTTTGAAGGGGGAACGTTCAACGCGAAAAAGGTAACTACAGGAATCGGACGTGTAGTGCAGAACAAAGCTGCAAAGCATGATGTTACCAAGGATTATGTCTGAATCCGACGCACTGGCAACTGGGCTAAACTGCAGCGGAGCAAAAGCCATTTCACTTGAGCTACGATACTATAAGCTTACCTGGCCTCGTTGATGAATTTGAAGGTTTCGTCCCAGTAGGGCAGGAGCTGAGCTTTCTCGTCATCGTAGACGCGAATATTCTTGTAAACAAACTGGTCAGCGGGAAAGAAATTGTCCACTTCTCGAGTTACGTTGACAATGTGGGTGACGTTGTTGCGCCGTAGCTCATCCCCATTGGAGGCGTTGAAGGAGCTGCCCAGAAGAAGGTGGTCGAAGATGAAGGAGGGCACGTCCATCTGACCGTAGATTATCAACACCTGGTCGGCGATGAATTGACGCTGGTCCTTCAGTGACATGCCCATCTGTTTCTCCAGCATCTCCCGAAGCTATCAAATAGAATTTAAATGTGACATGTCGTACTGTTCGACTAAATTTAAAACCATGGAAGGTTATAAACTTAATTCGTGTCAGAACAAAACTAATGCAAACCTTACATGTCCACAGTAAGCACACACACAACAACAACAGCAAAATTCCTACACGTGGCTCTACCAAAGAGACATACAAAGAAGCGTCAAAGGCAAGTAGAAGAACGTAAGCGGCAAAACTATCCAAAGTGTGTACAATAAGTGAAAACACAAGGCTACAAAAAAAGCGGATACGTCACAGGTGACTCCTCTAGTCCAAATGTGGGCATTTCGCGTATTTAAAAGGACGGAAGGATAGTTATTAAACCAGAAAAAATAAAAATGAGTAGGTTTTTAATAAGCTTAATTTCAATGTTGAAGTTGACAGGAACATTCTGATAAATGAAAAAGGAACAAAAGCAACAGAAACTATAAATGTGATAAATCACACCACAAGGTAAAAGAGATTTCAGAGACTAAAAAGTTGGCTTCAGCTCCATCACTAGTCCCAGAGGGCGCTTTAAACCTTCTACACCCATTCACAGTCATTTTTGTATTTGAAGGTCATATAAAGGCCGATGCACAATTGAAAACGCAATCCTACTATTCTAAAAAGGAGCTGTGACATTTCGTTATAAAGACCGTTTATGAAACTATAATACGGTAGCTTTTAAACAGAAAAAGTAGCATAAAGATTTTTACTTACATTACCAGTTCACACCCACATTGCGTTGAGCAACCCAATTACAATAAGGGTAGGCAACGTGGGATAGATGAATACAGGAAGTGCACATTTGGGATGAATGCAAGCGCTTTTTTGTTCAGAAGATAAGTCAAAAAATGTACTAACAGAAGAGCTTCCTTTGAATAACGAATACCTGAGAGTTGACAGTCCTTGAAAATGAGCACATCTTACAGAATGAAAAACGGGACCCTTAACTCTACCTGCTCAACTGACGAGCTGATGCGTTCGTAAGTGAGCAAACACTCAAAAGTCGTATAGACGGTTAAATTCGATGCTCAGGCTAGTAAATTATTATGGAAGAAGTCAATAGCGATGCAAGAAACACTCGGTAAAATATTGAAAGGGTAGGTGAAAAAAACCAAAAGTAATGTTAATTAAAGTGAGGTAGAAGTGCTATAATAGCAATAGGAATAACGATAAAACTATAGTAAAACGTCATTTTGGGAAACAGACAAAGTCCTCATTCACATAAATTCCGCCATTGAACCGAGATTTTATTGAGAGCTCAAGCTCGCTTGATTAGGAAGATAACATGGAATCTAGACGTTAAACAAGAGAATAATTGGTTTTTTGGTTTGGTTTAGTTCGATTTGTAAAACAGAAGTGAAATTTCATAAGAAAGAACTTTACTGAGAGTCGTCGATCAAATTCAATTCGATGAGCAGAGCAAACCTAGCATAACTTCACTTCGTGGAAGTGCTAATTAGGAGTAACGCAGATAAGCAAGAGTGGATCTTGAACAACGGGGAAGATGAATGAACTCAATAGGTGAAATGGAGGGTAAAGCAGGAATATGTGGCTGACTATTTCACACCTTAAAACAAAATAAAAGTAGTTGCTTAGTGACTCAAAAGGGATAAAATAATGATTTTTATTGTACTCCAGAAATACGGAACGAAGTGAAGCGTAAATTGAGGAAGATGTTAAACATAAAACATTTTGGTGTTAGGTCTCCACACCAAAATGAAAAATCCTAGAAAATTTTAAAGAACATTTAACAGCGAGAGCAACCACTTGAGAATTATAAGGGTAAAGTAAAAGTCCACTTGAAGAAACTCAATAACTGTTTTATTATAAATTTGGACGATCCCAGCAATAGCAAACGAAAACAAGTCTTATCTATTCCGCGCGAAAAAACTGAGAAAATGGTACAAAATTAGTCTACTTTATACAGGACAGTGAAAGTTTCGGCCTTCTCTAGTGCTAGCATAATTTGTTTTCAAAAACCACATCTCTCCTAAGTAGCATTCACCTCAACTAAAATACCAACAGTCGAAGTTGATCAGACAGTAAATTGGACGAAGTAAAGACAAGGGCAAGGCTTAGAGTTACCGAGGCATCTTTTAAATTTTAAGTCACAAAATTGAAAAAAACAGAAATGTTGTGATAAGATGTGTGAGTACACTTGAAACCTTACAAGAGTTCCACGCTTAAAAGAAAATAAGCGAGGCAGCATCACAAAATAGGTGAACTCTTTCCACGTGAAAAATATCCTTAAGTTTGAAAAACAAATACTCGATAAAATGTGAAACACTTACCTGAACAACATTGACATCCTCCAGATCAACCGAGCCCATGATTCTCTGTAGATGGAGACGAAGTGAATTTTTGAAGTCTTCATTTCTTCTCCTAGCGTGGCAATAAATAAAAGTATGCCGAAAAAAATTTGCGTATCTTATACGTGTAATCAAATTAAGCTTGAAAATTTGATAGGCTCAACATAATCCACTCAAAATCTTAAAAAAGTACTTTAAGAAAATAAACGAAACAAGAAAGCATTTGAGAAGTAAAGTGGACTTGCTCGTCTTCGGAGACCGGCGTACCAAGTTCAGCAGTGGGTGGAGTGGCTCTGCCCATGTCCTCAATGTCTTCCATTTTGTTCCACTCGAACATCATAAATTGCTTAGAAGAGGGCAATCGTGTATAGTACGAGACCCATGCGTGACTAGGACCCTTGGAATGATAGTCATTTTGTTGAGCCACCTTGCAGCCCAGCATTATCGCTTGATGCGCAGCCCACAGGGCCTGGACCGAAACTGGTTTGAAGAGGCGTATATTATCCCTAGTTATCAACTTGAAACCTCTGAAGCCATAACAGGGGTAGATTAAACTGAACTTGTCGAGCTCATGTATCATATTCATGGTATAGGAATAAAATCAAGAATCAAACGTACCCATCACCATCAAGAGCGACGACCATGTCTTGGTAAATAGGCAGGATAAAACCAAGTGTAACAGCGCCTTTGTACACATCAACCCCCATTATTACCGACTCTTCAGTATTTTGTGAACCGATAGAAGAAATTACGGCAAGATAACGGAACCAAACTGGTCGTGGACTGGCATTTTCAAGTTTTACAATCTTGATGTAAAAATTCGAGAGTAGTTTGGAGAAACATACCAATTTGACGTAGTCATTAAAGCGTAAGATTTGCAAAATGCGTTTCAAATGCTCATGTAGGTTGTCTAAGAAAATTTAATGAGACAAAAGTAAGCTCTAACCATGATCTCGAACGACACTGATCCTTCGTTGAGATTTGACACTTAATGTTATTGCGCTGGTCTTGCGCAAAAAGAAGTCCTCACTGTGGCTGAAAGACAAGGAGTTATTGCAAAACATTTGCGTTCAATTTAACAAAACAATTACAGGAAAGGTCTTCTAAAATTTTACCTGCTTTTGGATCCTGCTTCTGCAGCATTTTCCGAGTCCTCATCAGTAGCAAAAACGGACTCAGGGTTCTATGAGCAAATAGAGTATAAGTAACAAAAGAGAACCTGCTCCTGTGACACAAGGGCCCTGTCTATTGTTATCAAGGACATCGCAATTATTCTCCGATGACCCGCATTTCTGAGTGCTGGATTAAACAAAATACGCTTTTAAGTTTATCTTTTAATTTTAAGTTTGATAGCACAAAATAAATAAAATTTTTTAAAACCACAAACTTTAGTATTATTTCTGAGTCCTGCAGGTCTTTACTGAAGTCTTTACATTAAAATGGCATGGGAAAACACACAAATAGTGTAAAGAAGAGCTGGTTGGGTGCTAGCGTGGTGTAGCGTCCCGAGACTCCCTGAAGACGAAAGAAGACAAAATACTCGGGCAGAATATATATTCAGCGCAGAGAAGGTGTCTGGGCTATTGGCATGGCCCAAAAGGCCAGCCCACCCAGCGAGGTACAAGGGGGCTAATTCGAAGCACAAAAGTGGCGCCTCACCAAAACCGAGGGATAAACCACTATCGTATTACATAGCCTCCCTCCTCTTTTGAGCGTCGTCCCCGGCGCTCCCACAGGTCAACCTCCTGCGTCAGCCATTACAACGTAGTCGGTGCAGCAAAGAAACACCCACGAGCCAACCGTGCCAGTCACCAAATTAGTGCGCAACTGAGGGGATGCTTGACCTCAACGTCACTGATCCCTCTTGGCAGCTTGACTGGATCCGGGGTTTCGTCCGGTTTAGGGATTTCATTCAAGACGGGGAACTGCGTCGGCCATCATGCGTGTCCATAGATAGATGCAGGAACTCTGGCCTAAAAGCAGATTTGAA